ACGATCAGTTCCTGAAGATATAGAAACATCAGGTTTATATTTGCAAATAATATTTATCTAAAGAAAACCACACAACTTAAATATATTGTGCAATGAAGAGATTTTTAACACCGGGTCATACAAAATTTTTAAATATGTTTGATTCCTAGAGACGAGGCTGGCAACTTTTTAACCAAAAAGGGGGTATGGTGTTGGTAGGAGTCTTCCAGAGACCTTTGAAAAGTCTCTCTTTTTATTCGGTCAAACTCCTGATAAAAAGAAGTTGTAACACCAGGATAAGGCAGAAAGCATTATGTGACTTTGCTGGTAAGCTGTGGACCCCACTCTTTGAGGATAAACAGCTGATTCCAGATTTTCCTAAACGAGCAGCTGTGGCACTTTTCCGCCATATTGCAGGCCATGACTGTTTGCCCGCGTATTTGTATCGGTTTGGGATTTGTGATTCTCCTTTTTGTCTTTTGTGTGGACAACAACAAATTTTTGATGCTACTCATCTTTACTCGTGTTCTGCGCTTGCGTTTTTAAATTGTAATGTTCAGAGATATTGGAAGGCCAGAGAACTACTGGCGTCATGTCATGGCCAATCTTCTGGGCATTTGTAATAAATAAATAAATAAAATTTTTAAATATACATATTTCAATAGCATTCGATAACATCGTTTTGTCTGTTTCACTAAAATAATGTTTTCATGTCTATAAATTGTGGAATTTTGTCATAAAATTGCTTTTTACTTGGACAAAAGGATAGCTAATTTTTTTTGCATATGTGAGCGCAATAAGGTAATTTTAGTTAATTTTGTTTTGTTAATGCATTTCAGCTGCATTAAAAAAATGAAAATTTTGATGAGAAATACTAATTCCCTTTTTTTTGATAAATGCATATTTTTTTCATAATTTAAACAATATATATATTTATTGGATGAAATGTATTGTAATCCCCTTTCAAAGAACACAGAAACCACTCCTCCAGCAAAAAGTTCATTCACCATCAGTTTCAAACTAAAAATTCAGTTTTGGAAACTAATATCAAACACTATATCGATGTAACGTTCCTAATAGCCTACTGACGTGCCAATACATCAATATACAATTGCCCTCTGGCTTACAGATTTTGACCTTAAGTGTTAGTTTTAAGCAGTGATTTTTCCAGATTTACAAAATTTTCAAATTAGTTATTTTCTGGTTAATAAAAGCTTTAACCAATTCAGTTGTATATCTTGAAAAGTAATACAATCTAAACAAAGAACTGAATATGTTCAAATGTACTATTATACACATCCGGTTTATAAAAGATACTTTTTGTGTTAAAATACATGGCATTTTTACTATTCTTATAACTGAGGAATTGTAAATTTAGCATAGAAATATTAATTAATCGAGTTACTAATTTCTTGCAAAAGCTCTTGAATAAGCTGACGGTCAGGAATGAAGTGAGAAGAACAAACATTGAAATTTGAAGGATAGTTAATGATTAAAAGGTAAATAGTTAGCATTATTTTCGGTTAATAACTTGCTTCTAGCTTTGATATGAGATTTAACAAGAAAAATGAAGATTGAAATGGCAAAATAGAATGAAATATTCTTATTCAGTTTTGAACTATGTGTATCGTATATCCCCATGCATAATTCGATTCCTTAATTTCAATTACGAGATAGCAAATTTCTTGTATGTCGGGTGCATTAGTCGACAGCTAAAAAAAGCAAATATGAAATTTTTTTAAACTCAAAAAACATTAAAAAATAAATTAAGTGTACAAAATTGTCTCAAGTTAAAAATAATTCCCAACAAAAACGCTTACAAAAACACGAAATTTCCACGCTGCTCTAGTAGAATGTGTAAATAGATGCCAGACACATTTCAAAATGTAGATTAAAATATTATTGTAAAATCATTTTACGTGTGTGGAATTATGAATTCTTTGAATATAGGGGGGAGATGTATTTTGGTGGGAAAAAGCAGATGATGTAAAATCCATTGCAGGGGGGATCTATATGACAACACTGCTATTGTTATTGAGTCAAACACAAATTATGAACTCGAATATTTAAATTTGTAGCTTTAAGGCATGCCTTAAAAGTTTTCATTGTGTTATATTTTTTAAAAAATACTTAAATGAAATATCTTAACTTTTGTTATTCTTAATTTTTATTCTTAACATAATTCAGCGTATTGTTCCTGGAAAAACTTTTGTAAATAAAGCAAATTAAATGACAGAGAGAATTCAAAATTAATTATATATAGCATATTAAAAATAGTTTTTAAAATAAGTTAGTTGATATAGAGTTATTCATATCTATCTCATTGTTTATCATATATCTGTAATTCACGATCAACGTTGTAGAATAGTTCTGGCTACGTTCTCGCTTAGTTTTCAAAAGAAGTGAGATTATTGATGTTACATATTGTTTGTAGTTTCCTTAGTTATATTTATAATATATATTGGGTCATTAAGTATGAAATGTCCGATTAGCTAAATCCTCAAGTTTGATACCAGATGCCTCCGATATATCACTATGATTGTCCTTTATTTTTTTTGCATTGAAGAGGTACGCCATATGGCATTCAGATGCACTTTTTTGTTTTTAATAGTCTATCGTATTGTCGTCTGAAGGTTAAATATTGAAAGCCATGGATAAGGCAAAAATGCTAGTTATTTTCGAATATGAGTTCTGACAATAATGAACGAAGACTGTCAATGAACGCACAGTTCCGTCAATGTAGCGCAGATTAGCTGAAATGTTAACGAAGAGTTTGGCAAGGATGTAGCTAACGAACTTACAGTACGTCGATAGTTCATAAAATTCCGATCTGGAGATTTTGATCTTCAAAATGAACCGCGCGGGCAGCCTGAGAGCAAAGTGGATGACAACCAACTGAAAGCTGTAGTGGAAGCAAATCCATCTGAAACGACGCGAGAACTAGCATCAAGGTTTGAAGTTACCATCCCAACAATATTAAGTCATGTGAAAGCAATCGGAAAAGTAAAAAAGTTAGATAAGAGGGTTCCGCATGAGTTGAGCGAGCGTCATCAACGGAACAGCTTCGAGGCTTGCTGTTCTTTGGTATCAACATTAAAATGCGATCCATGCCATCAACTAATGCCTTCTGGTGCCACAAACCATGCCATCTGGGGCTGTCGAACAAAATTCAATATTGCCATTTCTTGTTCAAATTTTTTCATTCATTTGCTGTGGTTGCACATTGGTACCATATCATGCCCCATTGTACAACTCTTAGTTTATAGATGATTTTTACTATGAGGTATTATATGCATTTCAGAACATGAGACGATTTTATTATAAAGACATTTAAAAAAAATAATAAAGGAATATTTTATTAAGAATACCGTACTGCAAAATAAAAATAAAAAACAAAATTTGTTCTGTAAAAAAAATATATACTTTTATCCCAAATTCATTTAAAAAAATTCAAATAAACATAAATCTATAAAAAGGAAAGGGGTTAAAAAAATTGAATGAAGATAAAATTATGCTATAGATGCTATTAATATATATGTATGTATTTTAACAAACATAAAAATTATGAAAAATTTCATTAAAATCAATTATTTAAAAAACCTTAAAAAATAGGATAGATAAAAATAAATAAAAAAGAAAAAATTAAAAAAAATTAAGACATTAAGAATTACATACATTAAGAATTAAATCAGACAAAAAAATTAATAAAAAAACGAAATATTTTAGAAAATTTCCATTATGGAAAAAAAAATTATCTTTATAATAAACTTACTTAAAAAACAATAAAGGATCAAAAAAATAAAAAAATAGATACAAAAATTTCTAAAAAAACATTTTAATAAAAAATTAAACTCTTATCATAAACACACTTAAATGAATATATAAATATTTTACATACTGCAAATAAAAAAAAAAATTCTGTAATAAAATAAAATTATACTACTTTTATTTTAAACGCAACTAAAAAAATTGAAAGAAAAGATAAATAAAAATAAATAAAAGAATTAAAATAAATAAAATTTTAACAAAAATAAAAACTGATGATTTTATTATAACTGATGTAAAAAAAAATTTATAAAACATATGAAAACATAATATTTGCCTCCTAGGTTGGGTTCAAACTTAAAAGGTTACAGAGATGAACATTGATAGTCGTAAACTCAGATTTGGGTCGGCTATTCAACCACAATTAAAAAATTAAATTAAATTTCGCGGATTTGCTTCGTATTTACAAAATATAAAAGCAAAATAGTATTTATAAAAGGAAAATATAAGCTTTTATAAATATGTAGAGAACACAAGAAATCTTCAGAAATTTTTCATTCAGAACCAAAGGTTTCTTTTTAAATCAGAAGATTGAGAGCAATAACTTCAAATACTTTATTAAAATTATCATACTATAAAAAAATAAAAAGATTGTTCTCTAATAAAAAGTTAATAAATTGATTCTTTAATACAGGTTTTGTTTTTTTAATTACGTTCGAAACTACAGACCATTTCTTGAATCGAACTTCTTCTCTTGGGAATAGTTGTTTTGCTCTTCATACCACCCGCGAAGCGATTGTCATAGCTAGTTCATGGATGTTGAAGCGGTCTCTAGTCTCCATGAGCTAGTTCACGCAAGTTATTTTCGTGATTGTGCATAGGGCTGACAATGGAACCATGTATACCTCATTTGGGGCCTTAATTTTGTTTATGATTTTATTACTTTGTATGTTAGTTCAGCACGTTATAACGATAGATCTGACCAAGTTTCAAAATTATAGGATAATATTAAGAGAAGATATAAACCATTTTGTATATTTAGAATATATCTGTATTCTTCTCTTGTAGAGGAAATATTGGGCCTCCCAAAATTGTTTATGATTATTTGTTAACTGATTCTTTTTATTCGAACCACGATTCCTTCTTGTGCCCAAGTTTTACTTGCGATTTCATACGTGAAATGCAGGCAGAGAGAATGCTTCATAAGTTTTATGAAATTGTCTGCATGAATTTATAAAAGTGAGGTTGAAGCGTAAAAGAAGATCATGAAAAATGAATTGCCCTTAGAAAAGAATTCATTCATACATTTTAAACCTTTCAGTTTTGGTCTTGAAAATAATGGCTTCTACATGTAAGTTTTTTGACGAAGATGCAGTATATAGAATCAACAAGAAGCGATTTATTGATGTAGGACTTGTTTTAGAAAATTCTGAATTTATTAGCAGTGATGAGGAACAATCTGACGATCCTACATGTAAAGATTGGGAGCGAATGAAGAAAGGACATATTCGCGTAGCGTGGCACCCAAACGGAGCAGAAGAGGTTTTGCCCGAAAGAAAAGTAAATCTGTGTTTTTAAACTCATTTAAAACTGTTATTAGCTTCTATATTCACTTTTTCGGAAAAATTTTGTTTCTTAACTTTAGATCAGCCATGTCAATATTTGTTTAACATGTTAAATATGTATATGTTTGACAGCTGAATGGTTTGTTTACATTTATTTTCGATGATGATTCGGTTTTAAATTCGATGCTTATTTTTATCTGAAATTCAATTTTTTCTAGGGAATGAACTGTTTAACAAAGTTTATTCTTTTTTTCTTCTTGATTGTCGTAAAAATACACTTTACCTACCTATTGTTTTTGTTCACGAGCATTAGTGAATTATTTGTACATTACATTGAACCAGTATCTAATACAGCTATCCTTATTACAAATATAATTTCCACAGTCAAGAATGAAGTTATATGAGATTTATCTATGTAATATATGTTTTTTGGTGTCTTTGAGTATTTGTATTATTACTTCGTTGGCAAGAAAAATTAACAAGTTATAATCTGTCTCTATCTGTTATAAACCTTCCTAAACAGTAAAATACTTATAAAAATCAATAGCTATAATGCACTTAAGTTCATTCTAACAAGTCAACTGTAACAAAAAAAGTATTTAAAATCGAAGTAATAATTAAAAAGTCTTTTTTTTTTTAAGTATTCTCATTTTTTTAAAAAAATTACATTGATAAGAAAATGAATTAAGCTGTCATAGTCTGTCGATAACCGTTATAAACCGTCCCAGACTGTGAAGAATTTCAAATATTTTATTTTCAATACATTATAATATATTTATTTCATTGTATAAGACAGGAAAAAGGTAAGGACAAAACTATTATTGCAACTTTAATTTTTTATCAAATTTTTTGAATTTTTTTTTCTTTGTTTGAGCTGTTATAGTTTGTGGATAACTGTTATAAACCGTCTAAGATGTGTATGTCATAATCACATACATTATAGGAGTGCACTACCTGCGGCCCGCGAGAATTTCCGAAGGCAATTAACTTTATTAATAAATTTCGAATCGCATGTTTGAGTAATCTCTTTTTTAAGCACTCAATTTGCACTGATTCTATTGTAAATCTATGTTGTTTCTTGGTCACTTTTTCATTGGTTATTGCTAAGAAATTCCGCATGGTCTTAAAAGACCCAATATTTTTAATACGATATTACAATACACGAATTTCGAATTTGAGTAATTTTTGCAGATTCCTTCATGCATCCAAGTGACATTTTGGTATTTATAATTACCCATTTTCATGTGGTTTTTAGGATTCCGATACATTTGCTACGGTTTGTTAGTTATAAAACGTGCATCTAATTTATCCTATTTTGAAGTTCTTTATTTGTACAGATTTCATCATAAATATAAATGATATTTTAAAGGCAGTTATTTTTACACTTTACAACCTGATTTTGAAAATCCAGAAATTTTTTTACTATATTATTATAGCACATAAGTTCCAAATTGCACATTTAAATAATCACCTTTTGACACACTTCGCTTTTGCCCATTTCATCAGAAATCTAAGTGATGTTCGGATCGTTTTTGGCATTTATAACTACTATTTTCCTTGTGGCTTATAAATTCCTTGCATATTTATTACAGCTCATGAGTTATAAATCGCCGTTCTAACTGATCACTGTTTGACATGCACTTTTTGGATGAAATATATTATTAGTACGTTTTTACTCGTGATTTTTAAAATCACATGTTTTTAGTACGATGTTATTACGATACACAAATTTCAAATCGTCCATTTAAATCAGCATTTTTTGGCATGCATTCTTTTTTCCAATTTCATAATAAATCCAAGTGACGTTTCGATCATATTTTGGCATTAATAACTACTAATTTCCAAGTGCTTTATAAATTCCTGATACATTTATTACGACTCGTAATATCATCTATAAGACACGCATCTAATTTATCCCTTTTTTTGATTTGCCTTATTTGTGCCAATTTCATCTCTTTCCAAACGAAGTTTTTGGAACGTGATTTTGAAAATCCTTTATTTTTATGAAGAGGTTATTATGACGCACGAATTTCAAATCGCCCATTTAAATCATCCCTTTTTGATGGGCTCTGTTTTTCTAATTTCATTGGAAATCCATGTGATTTTTTAGATCGTTTTTTGGCATTTATAACCATCCGAGTGGCAGAGCTTTCTGCGACAAAACTCTCTAGCTCTAATATCTTTCTTCCAGGTACTTTCAATAATAACAAAGATGTATGTTACTAATTTAAAGTAGCAAAAATGCTATGTTTAAAAAAAAAAAAACGACAAACATTAAATTATTTTTATTGAATATGTAATATAATTTTTTTATTCTAATATTATGGGTGATATTCTAGCGTATTGTTGGGGAGAAAAATGCGCTAATTATTTCCTTTATCGCATTTTGTAAATCTTGATCACATAAGAAAAAAATAATTTTAAAAAGTTATGAAATTCGCAGCAGTAATTACCGAAAAGCAGATCAACGATGAAATCATGTGAAGGGGTTACTCAAATATGTGTTTCATTTCAATATTAGATTGTTGTAATAAATAACATCGGATTTTAAGAGGACGCAATACCTACCCTCTCAATGTCAGCTGCTAATGCTTTTCCTATGGGAGCTTCATTTGCTAATAACTTTTTTGCATTTTAATATTTTGGAAAAATTCTTTCAGCATTTGAAACTTCATAGTTTACTCTAAGGTTTTATGAAATCACTTTTTGTTTTACCATAAATTTTAAATTATTAATGGAGTTTAAATATCGGTAATAGAGATATCTTCTAGAAATCCGTTTTATATCAAAATTCATTCAGTAAATCCTTATTTTTGAGTTCACGTACTCGAACTATACATTTCAAGCTACCAAAAGAAATAACTAGCAATTATTTTCTTCAATTATGAAATGTGTTATTAGGAAAGAAAGATGAAAAAATTCTTAAAAAAATTGGGGAAAGAGCCTAAACCACGCCTCCCATCTGTCCTCCCTTCATTTACCAATACGAGTAAAAGTTCTAGTAGGGGGACTTTTGGGGGGTTAGGAGAAAAGCTTCTTTACTTTCTTTGAATAGTTGAGGGGTTAAATAGCCTTGGGGTCTTCTGTTGTGGTTGAAAACAGTTTTTATTTCATTCTCTTTCTTTAAAATGAGTTAGGATGGAAGACTTTCTTTCGAATTTTCTTATGTTATTTATTATTATTTTTTCTTCTTAATTTTGGCAATAACAACTTATCAAAACATTGTAGGATAAATATATTTAATTAGTTAATTATATATCAATTAAGCTAACAATAATTATGCAATCTTCTGTAAAAATTTTTATGTAGCACTTTTAAATACGGAGTTAGAAATAGTAAAAATTTTAAACTTCGTAATTTAAATAATAATATTGTCATTAAATTTTTTTTAGCTTTATATAAGAGGTTAAAAATTGAAACTAGCAATATGAAATTTCCTTACTTAAATATCAGTCCTAAATTTCATAAAATTACTATCAATTTCAGAACAGTCACATGTGGGTCTAATACTTTCCTAATTATACTTGGCACCTTCAATTGGCAATTTCATAAAATTACTATAAATTTCAGAACAGTCACATGTGGGTCTAATACTTTCCTAATTAAACTTGGCACCTTTTTCTTTAACTACTTAAATAAAATTATCAACAATATTATTAAAGAGGATTTTTCTTGGATTATCACTATTAATCCACCGATTTTAAAATTTATTAAACATAATAAAATTAATTCTATTGCCACTTATGATTTCCAAGATCTTTTCAATAGCATTCCCCTTTCTAAACTAAAAGATGTTCTTTTGAATTATTACTATGTTTTGAAAAAATCTTTAATTACGATTTTGATTATTGGGAAATTCCAATTAATTTTTGTCTTTTCAATAATTATCTTTAAAATGGAAAAGATATTTTTTTTCCTAATTGATGGAATACTGGAAGGATCTAATGTTTCATCTCTCCTAGCTAATTTTTTTTTGCACTAAAAAAAAAAGAAATTGTACTCTTAATATTAAATTTTTTTTTAGACTTATTGATGATTTAATTATCTTCAATTTTCATGAATATACTCTTTTATTTAATAATATTTACCCCTAGGAATTAATCTCGCTTCGTAATCATAATGATAGCTTTAATTTTTTGGATTTGGGTATTATAAAAGAAGAAAATATCTGCTTTGTTGGTCTACTTTATAAAAGAAATTATTTTTATTTTAAGGCAAATAAATTATTTTTAAATCTAATGTTCTTAAAAATATCTATTTTACCATTTTTAATCAAATGTGTAAAATTAATAGATTATGTAGTAATGTTTAGTTATCCAAAAAACAAATAGACAAAATTTGATAAAAAAAAACAATGGTTACCCAAATAAAGTAATTAAATTCTATATAAAAACATTAAGTTAATTGTATGTTATTGTGAATAAATTTACTAAAAAACTTCTTCGTTAATTTATACAATTTTTACCGTGTGCAAATCCATTTCGGGCAAATCCTTGGCTGAAATTATGTGCATAACAGGCAATTCATATTTCCTTCTCTCTCTCTCTNCAAAAATTTTCTTTGATGCAATTTAAAAAGCGTTTGATTTTTCTTTTATCATATTTTATAATTAATTCTTATTTTTTTATTTTTATAACTTTTTATTATATTAGTATAAGTTTTAATAATTTTTTCAATTCTGTATTATGACTTAATAAATTGCCTACGTTTTAATAAATTATGTATTTTTCAGAATTTTTATAATTATATTTCTTCATATATTTACAGCTCAATATAATTAGCAGTTCTAGCTCCGATTATTAAAACTAAGTTACTTTAATTAATTCCATTAATTCCACACACATTAATAAAAATTTATATTTTTCTTGGTGTTTTAATTTGAAACGAATTAATTGTAAGATATAAGTAATCCCCATTATCTTGTAAACGCCTATTTACAGACAAATAAATAGTTAGAATGTCTATTCTGGATATTTCATAACGAAACTAAGAATGGGTTAAAAAATAAAAGACCGCGTACCCAGAATCACTTTTCGAAACTAATGCTTATATTGTTCAGTTTTGCTAAGAAAGGATGGGATAGTTTAACTGACCCTCTATCATATATCACTGTCACTGTACCAATTCACTCCTCCCTCAAAGCGACGCCCCCAAAGTGTGACTATTACAACTCTGATTTTGCCAATTCCGGTTTTTTATCTGGGTATCGCGTCCTCTTAAGAACTGTATGGAAATCAGAAGCAATCACTGCCATAGAAAATGATAGAATCGTGGCCTTAAAAAGTGAATACTTGAATGCACGATTCGAATTTCCCATATCATCTGAAATATATAATAGGATAATTAAATACCATATGAAGATCAATAACTGCATAAAGTATAATCGAAACACTACATGGATTTACTATACTATCAGCATAAATTAAACTCAACAAAAAGTTATTATTGGAATGAGCAATTCAAATTTTACGTGTAAATTTCTGCAGAAAAGAAAACCAAAATTTTTACTTCTTTAAAGAAAAATCTTTCTGCAAGAACTCTGTAACATTCTGTGCTAATGTCGTCGCGATTCTGCCACAGGGATAACCACTAATTTCCATGTAGTTTATGAATTCCAGATACATTTATTAGGATATTACGACTCTGTGTTATAAATCGCATGTTTAATTTATAACTTTTTGCCGTACTTAATTGTGTCGATTGCTTTGTAAACCCAAATTGTGTTTCAATCTGTTTTTCGACAGTTTCTGCCATGCATTTTCACGCTGTTTAAGAAAATCTGATTTTTGTTAGGGCATGCAAATTTTGAATCGCACGAATCACGCATTTCAATTATTGGCACTCTTTATTCACGCTAATTTCATTATAAATTTTTTTTTTAATTATTACGATACTTTTCTTTGTGATTTTTACAATCCTGTTACTTTAACTACTATACTAATACGACACGCAAATTTAAATAATCACTCTTTGATGCAATTTATTTGTGCATATCTTATCGTAAATATTAGTTATTTTTTCATGATTTTGGTAGTTTTCATCATGCATTTGTACTTTATTTAGAATCCCGACTGATTAGATTTCGCTTTTCTGGTGCGTGAAATATACCAAAAATCAGATACAAAACATTTTTTAAAAAATTATGATGCATCCCTCTGAAAGCACACAAAAGTTTCCAGGTTAAGAAGAGAGAAAAAAATTAGCACATGCTAATTTTGCTACTGTAAACTAAATTATATCAAACTACTTTTTTTTTAAAAAATAAATCAATAAAGAAAGAATTATAAATGTGCATATAATTAGATAGATAAAAGTGGAGGATTTTTCATTGTGAGGACCTTTTTTCTTCATTATATTAAATTAATTATTTTTTAATTAATTATTTTTTCTTCATTATGATAAATGTTAATTTTTAGTTCATTTTATTTCATGCAGAATTTAATTTCTAAAAATTTTATGTAACCCAGTATATATAGTTGTTTGTTTACAAATTTTACTTTTCAGTTTCATTCATTTTAAAAAGCTAAACATGGTTGATATCAAGAATATTTTTTATTAATTATTTGTTTTCTTTTTTACTGTTACAGAATTATTTTTTCAGATCATATTTTAATGAATTGATTTCATTCAATTTTGCATACAATTCTTGTTTTTTAGTTCTAAATTTTGCTGACTTATAAGTTAATGAAAGCTAGCTTCTAATTAATAATTGATGTAGACAAATAACTTAACTTTGAATATAACAGTTGTTGTCAAAATCTGTTACAATTTACACTTTTTGTAAGAAATAAATTATGTCTGAAATTTATTGTGTTAAAATTTTCACATTTTGGAGAATTTTTGTTTGTTAGCAATTAAAACCTCCATTGTTCTTTTATATTTCTATATGTGATTACAGCTTTTTCGTTGTTCATCTAAAATTATGCTAAAGCCCCAATGTGTTGCTTGCTCATTCAGGTTTTTTATATACTAGTATAATAATACTCAATTCCAATTACTGGTTTTATCCTTCCCTTAGTTAAATGTTATTTTAAAAAATCAAGTCACCATTATATAAAAATAGGTCTGTATGTGAAAAATAATATTTCTCGTAATAGCTTTTAAAATTTGCACCAGGTTTTGAACTTTAAAAGGCGGCTGATATGAAAAATTTGGTTTTAATTCTTAGTGAAATTATTGCTAAATAAATCGCTAATTTCATTTTTATTTTTTCGAATCATGAAATTAGGGATGAGATTTTTTAGCGGATTTCCACCCTTTTCACTTTTGTCTCTCAAATTCCAGCCTATTTTTTATCAAAGACTCAGATTCTCTAAAAGTTTTTTTTTTTTTTTATGTATAAATATTCCATTTTTTCTAAAACAAAAATCAATCGTTGAAATGTAATTATATTTATTTCCGATTTTCAAAGATAAACGGAAAATTCAAACTACGTAGCATTTTCATTTATTTTCTCTGCTTCTACTTACAGAAAATAATATTTTCCGCATTTTTACCCGCCCTCGCCAGATAGCTCGTATTTTCGTAATTCAGGCGTCGCTGCATTTTGATATCAAGCATCAGTTTTTGTATTTACCTGATTTAAGAGTTGCGCATTGCGACTCGTATTCATGTGATTTCAGTATCGTAAATTACAATTATTATTTACGAGGTTTAAAAATCCGATATCGTGATTTGTATTTACGCGTTTTTAAAATCCTATATAGAGATTCGTATTCCCTTAGTTTAAAATCCAATGTCGTGATTTGTTTATGTGGTAGTAATATCAAACATTATTTTTCGTATTTGCACGTCATTTAAAAATTTGGCTTTGGATTCGTATTCACATGGATATTTTTGCTATAAATCATGGAATAGTATTTATTAAAAAAATCAAATGTAAATGTATGTTCTCAGTAGTTCAACTAGGCACTTTCTCAGGTAATAATTGACTTCTTTGTGACTGAAGAAAAACATAATTTCTAGCTTTATTTTTTTCAATTTGTAATTTTACTTTTTACTAAATTTTAAAAGTCAATGTAATTATTCATATATTAATGAATTAGTACACAATAATCTAAATCAACGCACAGTTCTTTATTATCTTAAATTGTCTGGAATTAATCATTAAATGATTGCACACACATAAGATTTGGTCGTGTGAAAATTCAGCTTTTTTGCCTTTTGGCCATTCTCATCCCTGTGAAATGTTTATTTTTCATGTGAAAAATAGATCATGGTGCATTTATGCAAATAAGACCAGAAATAAATAAGTCCCAAGAACCAGTATTTTCCAGTCTAATCATATCAATGATCATAATTAATAAGTAAAATACTATAATTGAATACTTTTCACCAAATTGTGTATGTATAGTTTGAATAAGCATCAGCCTATCAAAATTTTATTTGTTACACCTAAAGCATACCTGTATTTTATTTCTGGGCATTTCTTTCTTCTAACCTGCATACATGCCAGCAATATAACTATTTCACTAATTCCCATTACACTAAACTTTAATACACAGTTATAATGGAAGCAAATTCTTTTGTGAAAACTGTCCAGAAGCAACTATTTAACACTTAAAATTCTGAAAAATCCACTTTAGAATTATAAAAATCATCTTTATTAAGTTGAAGAGCTGTGTGTTATTTTTATGCGTTGAAATCATTGATTTGTTTTCTATCTAAACATGGGGTCCAGTTTCATTTAAACGATTGTTATTCTCTTAGATTTAATTAAAGCCACTAAAAAAAGAAAATTTTAACGCAAGCAATCGAGTTTTTTTTTTTTTTATTTCTTTTGCATTAATCTTCTTTGCAATTGTGTTTGTATATTAACATTGAATTATCTGTTATTAGGATATAAGTTATGACTGTCTTGATTGTTAAATATATTTGATCTGATAATGTATGTACCAGAAAACATTGTCAGATTCCATTTTAGCAAAATATATTCTTTTACCAGAACTACGCAAAGTATATAGTTTAGTATTTGAATTAATAATATTCGTTTTCATGCAAAAATTTTACAATTTTTGCACAAATTTTTACGCAGTTTTTACACACAGTTCCTTTCCTAAAAAATTGCCCAAAAAAATTTAGCATTTAANGACTTTTATGCTCCAGGCAGATGACGTAAGCCGAGTGCAGCGCCACTAATTTGCATATTGCAATTTTACTCAGCTACTCTTAGTGGACAACATATGCAAATTTTGCACGGTTTGGCTTACTTTTGAAAGAGTTATCGCTATTTTTGTGATTTTTCCTTAATTTATGATAACCAGTGTATTTAATACTTAAAATTCTGAAAAATCCACTTTAGAATTATAAAAATTATCTTTATTAAGTTGAAGAGCTATGTGTTATTTTTACGTGATTGAAATCATTGATTTATTTTCTATGTAAACTGGGGGCTAGTTTCATTTAAACGATTGTTATTCTCTGTGATTTAATTCAAACCATTTAAAAAACAAAAATTATATTTTAACACAAGCAATCGAGTTTTTTTTTTTTCCCCAAATTTCTTTGCAGTTTGTTTGTATATTTACATTGGATTACCTGTTATTAGGGTATAAGTTATGACTGTCTTGATATATTCTTTTACCAAAACTACGCAAAGTATATAGTTTAGTATTTAAATTAGTAATATTCAATTGGTTAAACTTAAAAGTGATTCTCTGGATTCGTTTTCATGCAAAAACTTAAACATTTTACGCAATTTTTACACAGTTTCTTTCCTAAAAAATTGCCAAAAAAATATAGCATTTAAGATTTATGATTTGTATAAATTTTCAATAAATTAGTGGTATGATTAAAATTATTATTAATAAACGTTTATTTTTAAAAAGAATTGCATTGGTATTGAAAATTTTTTTGTCGCAAGTAGTATGTAAGTTAAAAAAAATTTGTGAACTTATGATTTAGCAAGATAATTTAGTATCAAAATATTGTGTTAAGACATTCCTTTTTTTTTTATGATGCTAGGTGAAATTGTGTGACAGGTCTTTAATGCCTGGTGATGTGGTGAGAAAAGTGGTTAAAGGAAAAGACACTCAGTTTGGCTACTGCAGATACACTGTTGTGAAAGCTGATGTACAAGTAGTTGGAACTAAGCAAGTTGTTGTTGGTGTGAATAGCAAAGATTTAGTGCCTCTAGAAGTATGCTTTTAACTTCAATTTTTTTTTTAAATTTAGTACTTTAGGTTATGAACTGAATTAACAACAAGCACTCATTAACAGAAAGCTTTATGTTTCTTTCTTTATTACTGTTTCTTTCTTTTGATGTGAAACTTCTTTGACTGACATGAAATTCCTCATTAGTATACGACAAGTGAAGCATCTGCTTATAAAGTTTTGCTTCAATGGAACCAAAAAACCAATTTTTTAAAAAGAAATTATAAAAATTTTCAATTTTTATAAATTTACTTTGGGTTTTAAAAATTCAAAAATCTTGCTTTTTTTATTAATTGTGTAGATAGATACAGTAATTTAGTACCTAGGCATAACTCTTAAAGGTAGTCCATACATCTTTCTATTTATAGATATCAAAAGCATAACTCAGTTTAAAATTAATAGTAGTTGGTTGGTCTGGGGCCAATAAAATCAGACTCGGACCTCAAGGAAATTTTCAGTTACCTCTCAAATTTGATTACGACAATTACAGTTAATGGAGGAAAGAGGCACGATATGCTAATTTTTTATTTTTGTCTGTGTTTCAATTACAAAATAGGTCTTCATCGTAATTGTAAATGGTGCAATTTTCAGTATTTTCTCTAACTTATTTCATTCCAGTAACTTATATTTATTTCTTTTACGTTTAATATAATCTTATAATAGATATACATTTAACCATTTGGAAAAATTATGTTATCTTATTTTTAAAAGCTAAATTATTATTTTAATTTAAAAATTAAGTTATTATTTTATTTAATCTTTTTCTCAGTAAATATAAATCATTAATATAATCGGTAATCTTTTAATACTCCAACCTTAAAATAAGTGCAGAATAAAATCTATTTTTAGAGGTTCTCTCTACATCTGTCTTACGCATTAACATGGAATTCGAAAACCATTATATGATTCCTAATGTTTTTATCATTAAAATTCGTTATTATTTCTAACACTTTATTTTCCCTTGACACATTTGAATGTGTAAGGGTTAAAACCTTGGCAATAAATTAAATCAATTAATAGCCAATACATGGAATCTTAATCTTTCCTTGGCCTAAGCTATTTTATTTTATATCCGTCGTTGAACAGCCGACCCAATTTTTGGGTTTATGACTACTAATGTTCAACTTCGTAACCTCGTAATTTTGAACCAATCCAAAAGACAAGGAAACTCCTGGATCAGTACTCCTAGAGGTATTGATTTGTTATGGGAACCTGGGGGACTTTGCGACTCGACAGATTTAACGGCTGGCGGGGATCAAACCCACGAGCTCTTGAACATATGCCCAGTGCCCTACCGACCAGGCTATCCTGGCCTTTTGGCCAAAGCTATTATAACGTATGCATGGCACTCAGATTTTTTTTTATTTCTGGGTGGATGGAGGTGTCATGTGGTGCTTAACCTCGCAGTCTAACCTTCTGCACCGCTTTCTAAATTTGTATATTTAATAGTTCATATGTTCATTAAAGTGAAGATTTTACTTTACTTTGGTGCTCCATATAATTTCTAAAGTAGAAGATTATTATTTATCAAATCTGATTCTTGGATTAAGGTATGGACACATGAAAATAACTATCCGCTTTAATATCTTCTTCAACTACTGGCAATCACCATTGACTTCTTCAGGCACCTACTTTTTCATTACAATAATGATAAACTTTCAAATTATATAAAGCCTCAATTGCATTTTTTATTCAGTCGTTATTAAATATTGTAGCTGAAATTAAACATTGTTATGTACAAAGAGAAGTAGCTTATTGATGAGCATACACTTACTGATAATGCCTAATACTTCCTTGTTAATAACAATGCTCTTCATATATTGTATCAAAACTTATTCTTATTAAGAGCTTTCCTTTTTATGCCATTCTGTGATATTTTTTTCAAAAAAAAAAAAGTTAACTATTTTTAAATTTTTAGGAATTTGCTACAGATGTTGCAGTTTTTAAGGATTCTTGGGTTGGAATGGTAAAAACAATGAAAACTGAACTCACTTTACGATGCTCTGATGGATCTAGGTATGTTATGCTAGTAAATATTTTTGTAGAAAAAAAAACATTTAATGTTGCATTCTATCAAATTGAAGTTTAAAATTTTAGAATGACTGATTTCTATTTGAAAATAAGTTGCATTATTTTGTTCCTTCTCGTATTATCACCTTTACTTTTTTGTATTTATGATATATTTTAAATCATTATTTAGAAAGAAAAGTTTAATACTTTTAATTAGTTTAACTATAAAGCATGTAACATTCTTAGTTTTATTTTGTACTATATTGCATACTTGTTTGATTTTCAATAAAATCTATTTATTTCAGCATGGCCACAAAATCAAAAAGTACACCTTATAGCATTTTAAATTTATTTTAAACCTATCTACCTGTGCATTTGATTTGAATTTTAAGAACTTACATGAAGAGTTTCAATGTAGGCTTTTTTTTTTTTTTTATCATTTTAATCCATTAAAGTGAGGAAACAGTCAGCAATCAGCTAGCAAAACTGTTTCTACAACCTTATATAGTTTTGGGGAGAAGAGGTCTTATATAAAAGCAGGGTTCGTTGATTTAAATCAGCTTGATTTAAATCAAATGATTTTTTTTTAAAAATCATTGATTTAAATCAACTAGTTTTTTTTATCTATATATATTGATTTCAAAAGTTAAAAAACAGTGTTTTAAATTTTTGATACTTTTATTATTTTCTTTTCTTAGTATTAAAATTTAATTTAAATAAATTGCTGCATTAATTAATTTTAGTTAACAAAATTACTTTCTTGGTGTGTGTTAAATTCCAACACATTTGAAATTACAATTTTAAAAATCGTTTGATTCTTGAGATTGAAAGTATAGATTAAAGTAAACATTTAATGCTGTCTTAATATAGATTTGCATAGCTGTAGAAAGTAATTAATAAACATGAATTTTTTTCAAAAAATAATGCAAATAATGTTAATTAAAATTCTACCTTTTGAATGAAAAAGCGTGAGTTAAAATCTACATCATATTTTATTGGTGGAAAATATATATTTCTGAAGCTTGAGGTTATATTAAAAAGAAATTACCCTAATATGCCAAAAACAGAGGGGAAAAAAAAGGGGCTGATGAATTCAGATGTTTTTTTTCCTAATATAGTGTCATTCTTCCCTTTCAAACTCTTTCGATGTCTATTTGATGCAGTAGGGTTATTAGCTGGTATTTTTTTTATCATAATATGTTTACAGTATCCTTGACATTATCTGATTTTCTATAAAGAAATTTTGTGAAAAAAAATTCCAATGAATACATAGATTTTCTAATTTTTTTTAAGTTTAACTTATCTATTTTCATATAGAATTAAAAATGAATATTTTAATATAAAAATATATAGATTAAATGCTTATTTATTTTTTGATGAATGGCTACATTTATAAACACAGTCTGCTACATTTATTTTGTAATTTTAAAAATCAAGAGAAAAAAAAAGAAATCACAATTTTAAATTAAAGTTATGGTTTGCTAACTGAAACTTTGCTTTAATAGTTAAAGCACAGGGGTCTGTCCAAGCCGGTACCTTTACAAATTCAACTTTAGGAAAAATGATAGAATAGTCACACAAAATACTTTTTCTTAAAATTTTATTTTTTTGTCTCGTAAGAAACAATAAATCCATATTTTTACTACATTTGTGTTGATCTTCTAATATATATTTTAATTTTCACAAAATAGGTACCTCTCAGAAAAACCAAAACAGGCCCCTGAAACATTCTTTAAATTCTCTATTTCATCTAGTCTTTTAAATTTTAATCATGCATTTTTTTTCAAAATGGTTGCTATGCATTCAAAGCCATGTATTATAATTTCACAAAATAGGTACCTCTCAGAAAAACCAAGACAGACCCCTGAAACATTCTTTAAATTCTCTATTTCATCTAGTCTTTTAAATTTTAATCATNCATGGCCACAAAATCAAAAAGTACACCTTATAGCATTTTAAATTTATTTTAAACCTATCTACCTGTGCATTTGATTTGAATTTTAAGAACTTACATGAAGAGTTTCAATGTAGGCTTTTTTTTTTTTTAAATCATTTTAATCCATTAAAGTGAGGAAACAGTCAGCAATCAACTAGCAAAACTGTTTCTACAACCTTATATAGTTTTGGGGAGAAGAGGTCTTAAATAAAAGTAGCGTGGTGTGCTCTANCTTACAGTGTATTTGAATAAAAATCAAAAAAATCTGATTTAAATCAAAAAAATCCGATTTAAATCAAAAAAATCTGATTCTTTTGATTTTTTTTTTAAAAATCAAAAAAATCACGAACTCTGTATAAAAGTAGCATGGTGTGCTCTAATCTTGGTGCTTTGTTTGAATAATTTTGGTGCTTTGTCTAGAGAATTTCCATTATCTTACTTTACTTACTTGCATTATCTTACTCCATCATATCTAACAATTCACATTTATGCCATGTCAATATCAACTAATTCTAAGGATAAAAAGCAAAGGAAGATTAAGATTTGTATCCTACTTATAATTCAAAATATATTTTCTGCATTTAAATTCTATGTTCACATAGAAATTAGTAAAGAATAAAACTTCTATTATTTTTCTAAAGCTATTTTTTACTATCCTGTTGTATATATTATCCTATATTGTTGTATATAGTATCCTTAATTTGTATATAATTGTTGATTGAGGTTTACAGTACCAATGTATTCATTTTAAAGCATTTGTATATTTTTGCAAACCTTTGTGAGACTGTATTTTTTTTTTATGTAAAGCATATTTAGTGTAGTTTTTTTTTTTTTTTTCTTATAGATGTGTTATGTCTGAAGTTGATGCATTTGATATGGATGATGTGCTTGACAGAAGAGACAGAGTAAGAGAAATTTTTAAAATATTATTGTTAACTTTAGAAATTTAGTTATCAACAGTTTTATTTGTTTGCTGCTGTACATGTATTAAGTTTAAAGATTTTCTTTCATTGTTACCTCACAAAGATTTATTTAAATAAACATGCCACACCATTTCTTATTTTTTGTAAAAAAAAAAATTTAAAATACCATATAGTGTCCTATATTTGTCCCATAACAGAAACTAATTTTCTTTTTTAATACAGTAATTTTAATTGCTTTTTTAGTCTTTGTTTGAACTGTTGAATCTTGAATAAGCATCCTCATAAAAACTCATCATTTCTTATGGACTTTATAGTATCTGATGGGCTTCAATAACTGATTAATGTACACCCTACTAAGTTAAAAGTACTTATTTTAAATAGCAGTAGAGTAATGGTGATGATTTTTAATCTATTTATTTATTTTTGTACCAATAGTAAGCTCTTCAAGAAATGGTAACTCAAGTTCGAAACTAGAAAAATTTTATGAAAGTGGCTAAAAATGATAGATAACTTATCAAAACATGATCAGAAATAAGTTAGATTTATGATGAAATTGTTAAAAACCAAGTGGTTAAAAGTGTTGCTTTGAAATTCACATATCACTAACTGGAAATAGCTACGAAAAAAAAGCATGAAATTACAATAGAATTGTTTTGTTGCCAATGAAGCTCATTTAAAAGTGATGCTATAACTTTAAATTTGTGCATCGTATTAACATCATATAATAAAATACCATAGTTAGGAAAAAACACATGGAAATGGTAAAAGAAAACTATCAGCAATTGGCCTGAATTTACAACGGAATCATTTCCACTTGAGCGTGTAAAAAAGATGTAACTCAAGTTTGAAATTTGCATATCATGGTAACATCAAAATATGATAAACTATGTGGAACTATGCAGAATAAATGAAACTGAACCCTTCAAACTACTTACTACGTATTATACTGTACTCATACTTTATATCTGATTTTATTCATACTTTTTATCTGATTTTATTTAAATCATTAATCTTGTCTTATTCACCTGCTAGTACTGTTTTATCAGTTATAAATGTATTACAATTAAATTTGAATGCACTTAGACTTTTAAACTATTTTACCGTACTGTTTGGCGCAGCATGTCCTCATTTGGACCTTGTGCCACTAAACCCTACATTCAATCAATCAATGAACCCTTCAAACTTATTTTAAAAGTTGAAAATAATTGATTTACAGCCTAATTTTTAAAAAAAATAATCGAGTGATGTTTCTAATTTAAATGAAACTGAGTGTTTTGTGTGTGTACATCTTTTTTTTTTTTTTTTTTTTTTTNTTATTGTTTTCTTTTTTTTTTTTTTTTTTTTTATAAAAAATCACGTTTAAAAATTTAAAACTTTTTTTCCAGTCTCACAAACAAAACAAGAGCAATATTTTTATGTAAATAATTGTATATATTTTTATTCATTTTTGAAAGAAAGAATAATACTTTAAAATAACTGATACTACTAATAAATTTTTAATTGTTTTCTGATGACATATTTTTAGTATGAAATAAGGGGAATTCAAAACTGTCGGGAAATAATCCAAATCTATTTTTATCCTTAATTGAATTAGCGCTGTGCAGAAAATCAATGTACATAGCAAAATAATAATACCAAACTTGAAAATACACAACACAGTGTTATTATATCTAGTTAAACATTGTATACTTCTTCAGAAAAGCATATCTCCATCAAGGTTTATATCTTACCAATTATATGAATTTAATAACTTCTTTAAAAAATGTAAACAAAATGCCTCAGAAAAAAGTTCACAAAAATTTATTTTTTAGTCATGAATTTTTTTCCTAGGTCCTAGTAAACACTCTGATAAAACTCAGTTTTATTTTCAATACTTTATTTGGTTGATTAAAAAATACTTAAAATACAAGGATATGAATGAAATATCTGACTTGAAATTAATTATTATTTTCAAACTTTATATTTTTTTAACTAAAAACTTTGTTTAAAACATAAGAGCTTGAATTTGCTACTACTTTTCAGTAAAAGCTTAAGTTGAAATAGCTGAGTTTCTATGTCCAATGTTACTTATTTTAATTGAGAAAAATAACTGTTTATATCATAAATACATTCCAAATAAGAAGATGTGAATATGACTTAAAATTAATAAGCGTTTTCAAAAGTGATTTTTTGTAGCAATAACTTTTCTTTACCCAAGAGTTTGAATTGGCTACTGCTTCTCAGTGAAAGCCTATAAGTTTTTATGTCACTAAGATAATTATAAACATTTTTGAAATCATATTGAACCTGTAATAATAAGCTAATTTCAAATTTAAGCTAATTTAACAAAATTTTTATTTTAGTATATACATAAATATTCTGTTTGTTTATACATTTTTATGTAAGTGACTCTTGCATAAGTTTTATTTGTAAATCACTCATTGTTATGAGATGACTTATTTTTTGGATAAAAAGAAACTTTTAAGATTATTTTTAAACTTTTTTTAGTGCAAAATATCTCCCTTTTTTCACATATGTTTCAATCAATAAAGTTAGTTTTAATTTTTATTTATTTATTTATTTATTTTCAAAAAAAAGCATGTTATTAAAGTATATTGTATTTATATTAATACTAATTTTCTAGTAAAATTTAGTCATTTACAGGTTGTTGTTTTTTATTTGTATTGCAAAATATTTTTTGGTGAATCTAATTTTTCATTATTTTTTACTGTATTTGAATTTAAAAAAATATTTTTCCTTAGGCTTCTGAATTCAAAAAATATAGTTTTTATCCTGGCCAGCAGCTTTGGGGTCCTACTTACTGTTTTCAACGAGTAAAGTGGCTGGTTATAAATAAAGCAATAAGTGATATATTGAACTGTCCAAACAAGAGTATCAGAGCCACTGTAGAAGATGTATGTTATTATTTTTTGCTATTTTTTTTTAAAAAATATTTTAAGTTTAACTTGTGAAATGCTTTGGTTCTCTTGAATGTTGTACCAAACTCAATAATGTATTTTTAAAATGATAGTAATTATATAAATGTGACTTAAGATAAACAATGTCAAAATTTTGAGATGTTTTGAACTAAGTTATATTTATTATTGCATCTTGACATTGTATAGTGTTTGATTTTAATTTATATTTAAAATTACATTTGAAAACTATTGTCTTCACAGAACATCTTAAAAATTGCATTCAAATTTTAAATTACTCTTATAAATTTTATATGACCCGAAAAGCTTAGTGGGACTAGCTTTCAATTAAAAGAAATAAATTTGATTAAATCAAATAAAAAGATTAAATCAAATAAATTTGAAAATTTAAAAACAATTTTAACGAAGCTCTATTTTTAGAATTGTTTACTGAAAGATTGTGTAATGTTAAAAATTAACTTTCAGGATTAAGAAAAAGGATATTTTACAATTTTTATGTTGCAAAAATAAACAAAGACAAAATGAATAATTTAATATTAAAATTTTTTTTTTTGTTCTGTAGATTAGCTTTTGATATACTTTTGTCTGGTGTTGATTTAAAATTTATATTCCATTTATCAAGATCTTGTACGGCTTTTTAATCCTTACTGTCTTCATACAAATCATATTTACGTTGAATAAAGTTGCTATGTTAATCCTATTTAATCCTAACTACCCAAGTTAAAATTTCTTTCTAGCATTTTATTTATTTTTCTATTGATTTGAATATTTTAAACCTATTAATTTAAATTTTAGTGAACTAATAATTTCTTATAGGTCAAAATAGTTTCCTTGGGTGTACAGTGGGTTTGTAAAGCTTATAGTGAAGAGAATTTTAGAAATCGTGCTACAGATACTCCTAAATATCAAGTGACTGGCGATGATTTAAAGTCGTGAGTATCCTAAAAGTAGTACTTTTAGTATTTTCATAATTATTGATTTATTTTAGTAAACTGTATTTTTTTTTTCCTTCCAACAAATGGAAAACAGTAGTGTGGCTGCTTCAAAAGATGTTTTTTTGCTAAGTTAATATATTCATTATAAATATATGTGTATGTTTTTACTTGGTCAGAAATATGTTCAAAATAATTGATAGAATAGATTACTTTTATCAAAATGTCTGCATATGAATCAAAATTTATTATTGAATATTTATTATTTCTACCGCTTAATGTCAAACATAGTTTCTTGCCCCATTTAGTTTAATTTGTTTGAATATGTATTCTGTGTTTTTTTACTCTTTATTATTGTTATTTATGAGTTGAGTAAAGTTTGTTGTATTTCGCTGTTTTGTTATTAAACTGTATCTTTTTTATAGAGATGATACTAGTTCGTAAGTGTTGATTTAAGTGATAAGTAAAAGTAACAGAGGTATATATTATAAGTAATTTGTCGCAGGTATAAAATCTCATATCAACTTAAAAAAATAAAAGTTATTTAAACCAGTGTTTTTCAATCCGATTTTCTTGAAGGGCCAGTAAAATATTTCAGTATATCATCGCAGACTAGTAAGAAGGTTAGTAATTTGGACTATTAGCATTCACAAAATTGTGGCCAGTTTTTTTACTTGTTTTTTCTGATCAATCACATACTGTCTGCAAGCAAAATTATTTTAAGACTGAACCTATTTAAATATAAATAAAATTTATATTCATTCTTATAGAAATATTAATCTGTAGGCCGATAATTGGAAATCAATGCTTTAAGTTCTAGTGTTTACACTTTTATAAGACTAAAAATCTAAACCATTAAATTATGATATGATTAAATTGAAATAGAATCATATTATGAAATATCAGAAAATCGGATGCTTGCAAGTGACATTTAGGTCAGCCAATTGGATTTCACATGCACATGTTACTTGTAGGTAACCAATTAAATCTAATTCAAAAATTGGCTCGGCATAATTATAAGCCCGAGCCTTAACGATGTAATGTTAACATGCCATGCCCAACTACATGAATAGACCAGAGATGCCAGGAACTTTTTCAATATATTTTAAGGAATGGTAGACTGTCAAAAGCTTAAGATTTCAGAATTTTGGTTAATTTTACCAACAATTTTATAGCTTCACCAAACGAGAGCTGGATATAAGTGAAGTTTTTTATGAACTTTTGAATCATTCACATATAGTGGGAAAGAAATTAACTTAAAAACAAATTTTCTAACCAAAGAATCATACCTTAAAACGCACACTATCCTCCCACTGAAAGAAACTTTCCCACAAAATGTAGAAAGCTCACAACCCTTTTAGACAAAACAATGTAATTAGTTCCAAGTACCCATTAGCACTGTGGTAAGTTAGTTAATTTTGGAATTACTCAACAACAAAAATCCAGAATGGATATGCAAGCTCCTCAGTACTTCCAGTTTTAATAGATGAAGTTTATTTAGAAATAAATTACTGTGAAACTTCATTAGTTACAGCTTTTATGGAAATTCTTTCTCAAAAGTCTTAATTGTCCTCATTTTTTCTGTTGTGACTGTTGCATATTTTTATTAATATGTTAACGTTTCTTCTTTCTTTTTTTTATGCAATTGTAATTTTTTTGAATTAATAAATTTGAAATATTGTTTCTCAAAAATGACATCCATTATGTTCAAAATACTGAAACTATTTCTTAAACAAATAACTAAATTTGCCTCGTTTGACCATTGTTTAAAGTCAGATTTGTCAGATATCATAATATGTCAGGAAATTTCTGAAATCTCAAAAAACCAGACCCCTAAATCTATTTAGCTAAACTGTTTTGTTTCTAGATGTTGTCTTTCCGAGCATTTCTCTGCTTTAAATAAATATAAGTTCCAGAGTGACTTTTCCTAATTTTTTGTTATTCTTTCTTTTGTCTTTTTTTCTCTTCTGTCTTAATGTGAAATGCAGTTTCTGGCACTAGTTAATTTTATTTTCTAAATCATGTATGTATTATAATAACTATTTTAAACTTGTAGTTGGGCACAGCATCATTACATTTGACTGTTTTGTCATTAAATAGTATATTTGTTATATAAGTATCAGGTTGTAGTTGTTTTTTATTCTTTTGATCAAGTATACATTCTGCTTTCACTGCTTGAGAAGTTCTGATTAATCATGTATTTAAGAGGCAGCTGTTGTAAATTTGAAGATTTTTCAGTTCTTAATTCAGTATGCAGAAGAAGAAGAAAAATATATGATTTGAATTTTGGTGTTGTAAGCATATGTGACTTTTTAAAACGTTGAATATCTTTTTTTTTTCTTTCTTTTCAGAATAAAAATGATGAATATATTAGAGCCTTGCACCCTTCAAATTGGAGATAGGAACTATTTGGTAATGAAAGATAGCTATGAGATTGTGTCAGTGCACGATTGGAAGAATCGTATGTCAGGTCGATTGACAGTTGACAGCTCAGATTCTCCCATCCTGAAAAGGAGAAGTGCCAGAAAAACAGTCATTCCCAACTTCATCCAGAATAACAATATTGACTCTAATTGTGTGTCCAATGATACTGATAACTCTGATTTTGAAGATATGGATGATGAGGAGAGCGGCAGATCTTCGGATGCTTCATCTGTAACTAGTCATTCTACAGCATCTTCTGTCGAGAACACCAGTAGGTTTTTCATTTCTTTTGTTTTTAAGTAATACTTTTAAAAGTATCTATCTACATATAAATATTTTTTAAAATTTTGTTTGATTTATTTATTTAATGTGGTGTACATGTTTGTAAAGGAATAAATAGTTGTGCTTTTGCAGCCATTATTTTAAATTAAAACATGTGTAAAAATCCATATTTCACATAGTCCATTATTTTTTTATGTCTACTGATTCTATGCTCTAATAATTTGATAATAATACCTACAATAACAGATTTATTATAACTGCACAGATATGTCAAAATTATGTTACAGGTGAAGTTTCAATAAATTCTACCTTATTAATCACACTGACTAAACTGTATTTGCAATTATTAATAATAATCTATTAATGTGTTCTATTTGCCTAATTTAACTCATTCACCAACAAAAAAAAATTTATTAATAATCACTGTTTAATATTAATAAAAAAATTCATTTTATACTTTAACCATAACCTATATACAATAAAGTATAAATAATATGGTGATACAATTTTCAGCTTCAATTAATCTTTCGTAAATGCTGAATTTTGGTCTAATTAATTTTAGTCTGCAATTTTTAATATTTTTTTCTTCAGATAACATACTAAAAATATTAACTCTAAATTTTATTTAAAAAAAATATTTTTCCCATCCTAGATATGCATAAGAAAGGGAGAAAAGGTCCACATTATGCTACAAAAATGAAAAAGAAAAAAAGTGTCAGGAGGCGTGCCATGCGCCATGTTATGAAAGAAGCATTACCCTTGACTCCTGGTGAGAAACTAGTCACTGAAGCCTTAATTACTGAAACCAAAGCTGATGTGGTTTGGCAAGTATGTTTCTTTTTTTTTTAATGCCTTTTGTTACTACCTTTTTATGTTTTAGTTATTTCAATGTAATAGATTAAAATGATCTGCATTTTGTCGATGCAATGTGAAGAGTTTTTAAAAATTGAGGACTCATTCTGTCTTCTGATGCGGAATGTTATCAGTATTTTGACAGATTTCCATTAAACTTTTAAGACTGGGCAAGAAAGAATTTTAAGAGTAATAATTAAATAATATTAAAATAAGGAAATAGCTTCAACAGAATAGTTTTTTGTGATGGGTGTTACTAAGGCGACAGCGAAAGAATAAAAGTCCCCTTTTTTATGTTTCTTACTTTTTTCCATATTGAATTGTGTGCATGGCTTAAGTAATCTGCTATTCACTTGAGTAATATTTTTCAAATTTTAATAAAAAAATTGAATTGGTGAAAAAAACTCCAATTATATAAGAGTTTGGATAAATTAAATTTTATTTCATTGGCCTTACTTATTAAAAACCGACCTATTCTCTTTCTTTAATAAAAAATATTATTTTCTTTTGATTTTTATTATTTCTTAAAAACATGAGGTTTGTCCCTTTTTATTTTAAACATTTTAGGATTTAGAAACTTTCTCTTATACAATAGAGTGTCGTTTGTCTGTACACCAATTAATAGACTGCCGAGTTATCAAGGACCATGTGTTTTTACCCTCCATCTCTAAAAAAAGAAAATTAATATTTCATCTTCAGATTCTCTGAATGTTTTCAAAATATTTCTTCTGTATTTTGGTGCCTTTGGAAGGGGGACTCCTCACTCCATTTGAGTTTGCTTTGTCTAGAAGGTTTGAACTAGAAGCGACTACTGTTTTTAACGTAACAAGCTTTTCCCTCTTGGCTGATAAAATAAGAACTGCAAAAAAAGTTTTTAAAAAACGGCGTGAGTGCACAAAGGAACTGTTGTAAACTGAGCATGTCAAAAAGTAATAACTTGAATTAAATTTGCATTTCGTATTATCATGTAAATGTCAGAATCGAAAAAAGATCATGTGTTGAAATAGCTGAAAAACCTTACATAATCAGTAAAATCAGGATTTATGATAAAATCATCAGGAATGGAGCATGTCAAAAAAGATTACTCAAATTCGAAATTTACGTGTCTTAATAACGGGATTCGAATAATATGTGTACAAATGGTTGAAAAATGATCTAAAAATTACGTGATTGTTAGGAACCATTTTTTATTAAGAGCAGAATTTTTTTTTTAAATTCAATCGGTTTTTAAAGGTTTCCAAATTTTTGAAGTGGTACTGTACTTGAAAGGAACAAAAAAATTAATTTTGAACTATGCTAATTTTTTGTTAATAATTACAATTGAAAACTAAAAAATCATTTGTATTCTACAGAAGAAAAGTCTTGAAAAATGTCTGATAAATGTTTTTAAAAAAATAATATGCTGTTTGTTTAAAAATATTCATAGGATGGTTCTCTAGAACACAACATTTTGTCTACTTCCTTGTATCCAGTCCATCATTTGGACAGCCATGAATTTTTTCCTGGAGATTATGTTGTAGATAATAAAGGTAAAAACTCATTCATTAACTGCGTTTTAACCTCATGTGATTGTTTATTACTAAAATCATTGTTCAAAGATTTTTTTCCTTAATTTATTTATGCTGGGATTGAAAGCTTTACACATGGTGCGTAGCATTTTTAAAAGCATTTAAAGGTGCTTATTTTTTATTTTTGTTTATTAAAAGCCCTTAAAGGTGCTTTTTTCATTGGGTGTTTTTAAAAAGTGCTTAATTTTCTCTTTTCGAAAATGAGATTTTTTTCTTTGCCGTGTCCATTTTTGACAGGTATTATGCAGAAGCATGCTTTTCACATTGTTCTATTAAACGTTTTCACAATTCATTCAACCACAATCTATTTTGGTGTACCATCGTCCATAGCTTATGAAAGCGCCAATCATTTTACATGTTTGATTAAATACTTGCAAGTCCGCATGTGCGTCTACTGAGCCGGGTTCGGTGAGTTTATTACTCTCTCATGTACAACTCTGCTGCAAATTGCAAGATATTCTCAATTTCAGGCTTTATTTTCCGCCCTCTGGTATTGAATGTACCGTTACCCCTTTGGCTGTGATCTCAAAATTTAAATTTAGTAACGGTTACCCAGGTTATTTAGTAGACAAATATCTAATGAATTACAGAAAACTTTCAACATTTAAAACTCATTTTTATTGCACCTCTAAATCTTCAAAAACATAATTTCACACATTTCCAAATGCCAACATGGGAATAAACATTTATACATTAATTAAAACAAAAATGCAACCTTAAAACACTCAAGCATAACCTTCAACTTCTACAGTTCAAAAAAAAGACATTTATAAAATAAAAACTTCATTTAACATTTCTAAAAACCCAGACTTGGTTTATGATATCTATAAATTACACTTAAATGCTGATTGTTCTCCTACAAAAAAAAAACACAACATAACAGTTCAGAATTTTCGGTAAATGATTCCTCTAAAATGTTAACGAAATAAAATTTAAAGTTTTATAAGTACCCTACGGAATTTACTGCTTTCACTCTGGAACCGCCCACCGGAAAGGTAGATGAACTCATGGACAAACTCCTCGGCTAGGATCTCGAAATTTCTCCAGCTATTCTAATTTCAAGCGACTTAGGCATGTAGAAGGGGGACACCGGACGTCCAGCATAGATTCCTTCGGACTTGGCCCATCGTCTCAAAGATATCGGCTTTTGGCTAATCCCGGTAGTCCTTCCCGCTAGAGACTTCAGTTTAGCTTTCCCTAAGGTTACGATCCACCATCTCCGAGATACTGTCACGAACCACTCCTTCAGCGGACAAACTCCGTATCCCCAGGATACTGCTCTGATTAACTGCTTACTACTGGTACTGCAACTGCTACTAGCCACATTCATCGCTTCTCTTTTATCCTCCCGTCAACAAGGCGAAAGAATCTAGACTGACCTGTTTACCACGTCCAGAGTCATCCCGCATCCGGCGGACGTCAGAACCAAAAAAAAAAGATCCCTGAGAAAAACCGTCATGAATCCACTAATACCCTATACAAGTTATAATACCATCTTCAATAAATATTAATAAATTTAGTTACATAGATTTTACCCAAAAAAATCCCTTTTTAAAAGACTAATTCAAAATTTCTAAAGAAAATATCATTATGATTGAATTTAAACTTTACCGTAGTGGTGCCATCTACAGACAAATAATCTATCTTTAAAAGTATTACAAAAAAAAACTTATAATAAATTTCAATTTATTACATGAATCAAAAAATCTTCTTTGTCAAAAGAAGAATTTGTAAAGGAGTTCCTTGTCTGAAACTAGTTATTTTATCATGATCATGTAAAGTCTTTGAAAATTATTTTGCATTTTGTTAATGTATAGAATGCTTAAAAATATTTTTTGAGCATTTTAAAAGTACTTAAAACGTGCTTATTTTTTGATGAAAGATTTGGCTACGCACCCTGTTTGCAGTTGATAATTTTAATCAAAATTATAGTTTGTCACTAACTTATAATATCGGCCAACATTGTAAACACCTTTCTTTGTAACTTAAGATAATTATTAAAAATTCAGCAAAAAGGGACATATTGCATGTGCATATTTAATTTTAAATATATGTTTAGATTAAGAGGCTTAACTCATTGAAATGATTTTCAGAAAAATATGTTTTTTTTTATTAGCTCAATATTTATTTTTAATTTATGATAATCAATATGGACTATCCTTTTAATTAGCTAAAAGTTGCATTACTGACTGAGTAATTGAAAACTTTTTCAGCAATTTAACCCTCAAAATTTTCAAATCAAGTTTATTTGTTTATTCTATGTACTAGCCAATGAAGAATTTTTTACCAAATTATAATTTTAATATTTCAAATGTTGCATCAAATTTAATTTTTTCCTGTTGAAATTCTTTTAAATTTATGTCATGATTTTATTAATTTTTTGTTAAAATTGATATACCTGTTTTCAAAATTCTTGTTTTGCTTCATTAAAATATAATAAAACTGAAATTGAAAACAATTTCCGTTTTTTTTTTGTTTTTTTTCCATTAATTTATTTATATTTTTTTTAAGAATCTCGACCATACGAGTATGGTGTAGTTAAACAAGTTGATCACAGTGGTCGAACAGCTCTAGTCACATGGATGAAGACTTACCATGCTGGTGGAAATCCTCAGTAAGTATTTATATTTTTCATTTTCAAAAGGTTTATAGTTACCTCAAATTAATTCTCAACCCTTTTTGTTATTACACGTATACCACTTAGTATCATTACCATTTTTTTCATTTAAAACATTGACACCACTGTAACTTGTGGAATACCCATTGCCTCTTAGTGTTCTTCAGTAATAATTTAGGGCTATTACTTAAGACATTAAATTATGTCACTCAAGACAGAAGGGTTAGTGCATGGGCAATAGGTATTTGTGTGCCTTTTGCATAGGCTGAATTTTGCTTATTAATAAGAATAAAGTTTGTTATCAGTAGTTGAGTAAGGATGAAACTACATTAGGTGTAATTATTCATCTGTGAGTGTAAAAGAAATATGGACATGTTTTTATTAAGTTACTCAGTATGTTTTATAATGTATGCCATTTACCCACATTAGAAAGTACACAAAATAGACTAAGTTTTTTTTTTTGAAAAGTACTATACAACCTGCTATATATATATTTAAAACTTAATCATTTTATCACCATAAGAATTTAGAAACATCCTCTTTTAATTCAAAATAAAATAGTTGTTAATTAAAATTTACATTCATTGAAGCTTTGTGATAAAAATAAGTGGTGTTTAGAGTTCAATAAATTTAGTTTGCTACCAGGTGTATCGTTTTTTTGGAAGTTTTATAATAACTATATAATAGTTTAATATAAGTATCTGTAATAAATAGATAGTTATAAATATCTTGTAATAAATAAATAGATAGTTGGAAAAAAACTGTGGTTATATAAATAAATTGATATGAACTTATTTTGTACCTTATTTTATATACTTTATTAAGATGTAGTTTATAGAACAGTTTTAAGCTCAGAAAAAAAAATTTATGATAATTATTTTGCATTTGGAGTACAATGTAGAGCATTTTACAGTTATTTAAATTTGTGTTGTTTTTCAAAACTAGAACTTGTAATTGAATGTTTTACTTTGATGTAACTATTTTTTTTCTTTACTTCATTCTTAATAGTCCTGAAATATTGACTGAAGAAGAAGTTAGTGTGTATGACATTAAAGATCATCCAGATTTTAAATATAGACCAGGAGCTTGTGTAATACGTGTAGTCAACTCAGAAGTAAGTAACTGCAAAATGCAAGTTCAACATCCTTTAACCTATGTAATTCATAGAGTTTATTCAAAGTAATTCATAGAATATTTTGTATAAAATTTTAGCCCTTTTATTTTAATGAAGTCAGGGTTTAGTCTCCAATATTAAATCTTCTACGCATGAATATATTAATGATTTTTTTCAAGACCCTTTTGTATGAATAAGTATCATAAATAGACTGCATATTCATTTTAAAGCATTTAGAAAAGTTTGCTTGAAGTTATTTTGTAATGCAATATTTTTCCCACATTGCTTGGCAAAACTTAATTTTTGCATCAAGCTTTGATTAGTTAGGACTACAATGCTCTGTGGTGCCATATTTGGTTTGGAGAATGCATAGACTGCTATTGAAGCAATGATCTCAATGACTAATTAAACAATCATATTGTTTATGCAGTATGATGCATCATAAATCTGGTGTGGCTATAAGTCCTCTCATTAGTGTGGTTTGTTCAGGAGCTGTCACACTGTCTTCTGAAAGAAATCAAAATTATGTTGTGATTTTTGGCTGTTAAAGAATAGAGCTGTGAAAAACTGGGCTTGGAAATTGAATGTCGTATAATTAATTACCTCAAATAAGGATTCCACTGTATAAATGTTTGCACTACAATATTGTGCCCCTTTTTAAAAAATAAATATATAAATCAGATTTTATTAAATAAACTTTTATTATTTTGTGTCTCTCAACTGTCCTATAAATACAAAAAATTTTCCACTTCTGAAACTCAACTTCTTCTTATGAAGTACTATTTCATCTTATTATTGTTGATTCATTTTGTACTAGGATCTCAATCCATCATCTACTGCTGGTCAGGTAGTTGATGTACACGCCACTGGTCAAGTAGAAGTGTCATGGGTGAGTGGTGAGAAATCTTTGTGCTATCCCCAGGAACTTTACAGAGTTGGTGAATATGTAAGTTGCACAGTCTTATTTTTTAGTTAATTGTATTTTTATTTATTTATTGTTTGCTTAACATTAATTTTACTTTAAAGTTTGTTTGTTTTTTTTTTGTATTTTGAATGCACGGAATTTTTTTAGAATTAATTAATTATTCTTTTTCTTAATTGTTTATTCTGTCTTTTAATTCTCAAATAATTTATTCTTATTTTAAGTTGTTTTCCAATAGTTAATAAATTCCTATTTAATTTTTATCAAATGTGAATCATGTATTTTTTGTTAATATAAAAAAAATTTTGTTTCTGAAGTATATACTTAACAAAATCGCAAACTCTGATTTGTAATTATTGCAGATTCTGATTTGTAATTGATATTAACATTAAAATAAAAAATTATAAAAAAAGCATTTAATTGCTGCAAATTACATTCATTATTAAAAAAACGTTTCTTAAATAGTTAAAATCAGTCTTAAAAGTAAGCTATCAGAGGTTGATGGAAAAAAAATATTTCAAATTGAATTTTTCAATGAATAAATCAATTCGCTTGTACACTGTAGCAAAGACTACAATTGGTTTGTTAAGACCAAAAAAATTTTTGCCCAAACATAATTTTATCTGAGGTAAAGAAATAAAATGTCTCCATATTTAAGCTATCTCAATTTCCAAAATTTGCATTGGAAAAATAAGGAATCATTTAAACAGTTAGAAAAGTTGATATATCAAGTTTACCATTAGTTGAAAACTTAACCAAAATCTTAATTAACTATAGAAAAGCCATAGCAATAACATTCCAACTAATTAAAAATTTTATTCTTTAAATCTTTGATAATAATGAAAATGAAAGCTCATAAGCATTTAGATTTTTATCAATAGAATTTACTTTTATTCTCTATGTTCACGTTATGCAAAACTTCTAAAACATCTAAACCTTACAAATGTTATATGAATTTCTTTTTTAACGAACATTTAAAAAAAGAATGTAGGTGTGCAATTGTATAACATAATGCATGACATACAACATTGATTCTTTCTGGAATGAGAAAATTACTGGGTTTAAATAGAGAATTGAATTGGGAGAATAAAAATTATCTGATTAGCTGTAGATTGTACTTTTATTATGAAACATGTGGTATTATTCATGATTTATTTAATATTGTTTTCTTTAAGACTCCTATGTGACTTTCTATTTCCATATGTTTTGGCAGTTGTTGATTTTTATTCAGAATACTTTACTTATCCTAACTGTTTAATTTCTATATCAAGTCATCCAAGGATTCCAAATAAAATTGTTTTTGTTGTGGAACATAAATTCTATTACACATTGAAATTTCTGAACAGTCGCTATGTTTACATCAGTGTGCAAAAAATTTATTCACTTGTCTTTATTTTCTTTTTAATAGTTTCACTGCAATGTAGATATCTTGCAGGATTCTGATGATTTGTGGGCTGATGATGATTCCTTTTCTGATGAAGATAGTTGGGAGACTGAATCTGAAAAATCTGTTCTTGGAATTGAAGACGGGTACTCATTCTTACTTTTTCCCTTTATCAAACTTGTACTGACATCTTCTATTCAACTGAATTCTTTCTATTTTAAGAAATGTTGCTCAAATATTCATAACATATAGATTTCTGTGAATCTGAATGGTTTGCTGAAAAAATTATTACATTGTTCAAAACCATTAAGTTAGTTTAAAAAGTAATTTTTTTTATAAAAGTTGAGATAATTTTATAAATACAAATTTGGATTATGTATTAATTTTAAATAAGTTGCTTAGGTTAACAAATTAGGTGATATTTTGAAGGCTTAACCAATTCTCTATTGTTTTAAGTTATTTCTTGTATGTTTACATTGTTATAAGCATATGAAGAACTTGGTTGAAACCTAAATTGTTAGTATGATTTGTTTTATGTGTGTGTGTGTGTGTGTATATATATATATATATTCATTGAACGGAAATATTTTACTTTGCATGTCAGTTCGATAAAATTTAATTTTTTTCGAGTTCTTTTCCCGAGCAGTCTGATTCCAAATCAGAGTAAGAATAATTATATTAAAAAAGAGTTATAAAATTGGTTTGTGCGATGCATACCCACGCAATACATTTCCATATGGTGGTTTAGAAGACATAGAAGTTGAATATAATTAAGTGATTCTTTTCAGAGTAGCTTATGAACATGACAGTTAAAATGATTTGGTTACTCAGCTTGATCGAGACATAGTAAACTTAATGATTTTTTACCAGTAAAAAGTTACAAATTCACCTTAAAACTGATATCTGTTATGTTTTATTTCAGTTGCTTACAATTATTAATATAATACAAAAATATAATTTTATGTTTCCTATTTTCAAAACATTTTTTTTTTAATAAAAGCAAATAGGAACATTTTATATAATATTGTTTGCAGCTATGTCTGAATATGTGGGTATTCTCCCAAGTTTGTTTTCAATAAAATAAATCAGTTTTCAATTTAAAATGAACCATTTTTCCTACATTTAAAAGTTAGATATTCTTTAAAAAAAAGTTTTTTCTGTAAGCTATGGAATATAAAATTAGATATCTGCTTGAAGCAAATTTAATTTCAGTTTCATTGACTATCATACAAATGTAAGGCGTTCATTCATATTCTAATGATAAAATTGGTTTTTATGTGTTTATTTTTTATATTTAAATTAATAATCTAAAGCTATCTAATTTGCTGCTATGTATTCAAAAGCTGTACGTTGCAGGGTTTTTTTTTTACGTTTCTTATGATTTTTTTCCCTAAAAGTTGGAAATCTTTTTAATTAGTTGATCTATTGCTGTTTTGTTTTATAGTGGTATGAAATATTTTCATTATACTATTTTAGTATGTTCCCTCATTTATTACTTTTAAGTAACCTTAACAAATAAATTAGTTTTACTTGTTTTTTTTTTTTGAAGGCCAACCGAAAAAGAAGTTGACATAACTGCTAAAGAACTTGAAAAAGTCTCACTGAAAAAGCTGTTCCAAGATGATGATGAGAATGAGGAAAAGTCAGCAGAAGACATGCAAGAGAAGCTGTTAGCAAACATAGAAAAGTTGAGAGCAGGAATGGCTCGATTAGAAGAAGTTTTCACTCAAAATCCCACACTTCAGACATGCAATGTCATGAGAAGATTATTGGAGCTGTACAAACATTGCAAGTTAGTATCCTGCTATGAAGATTCTATTTAATCTCATTTGTTAGGATTAGTATCATTAAAAAAATCTACACTGTTGTATAATATCTGTTTCATGCAAGTTTTTAAATACTGGCATTTTTTTCTCCTTTGCATTAATGTCTAAAACAAAACAAAAAAGTAATTTTAAAAATACATTGTTTATTAAGCGATCCTTGCAAGTAATTTAGAATTATTTTTATGAAAACATTAAATTGTTTTTAGCATAATGATACCTTATATCAGTGTTTCCCGACCCCCGGTCCGTGGATCAAATGGTACCGGAGCGCCCATTTCATTGAAACTGAATTTAAATTCCTATTTTTATACTGCAAATTAAACATATCTGGTAAGGAATGGATCTGCGACTCATTTGTCAACAATTCGGGCGAATCTAGCATGTCTCTGCAAGAAGATCAACTGCTGGAGATTGCAAATGATGGCGTCTTTAAAACTATGTTCGAGACAACTCTGCCGGTTTTCTGGATTAAAGTCATGGTAGAATACCCCGAGATTGCCACCACAGCCCTTAAATCCCTATTGACATTTCCGACAACCTATCTGTGTGAAAAGAGGTTTTCTGCAGTAGTAGCAACCAAAACAAAGCAATGGAATAAACTGGACCTAAGCAACACAATTTGCGTGTCATTGTCTCCGATTACCCCCCATATGGAACGGTCTCATTGCAAAAAAAAAAACAATCTCGTGGTTCTCATTGATTTAACGTTTTAGTAAGTTAAAATGTTAAATCACTTTATATTTATTTTTTGGTATAACTGTATTTAATTTTTAGGGCTTGTTTAAAAGCAATTAAATTAAAATTAATGAATCAAAATAATCTGTTTGTTTGTAGTTCATTTACGTCGCACTAGAGCTGCACAATGGGCTATTGTCGGCGGTCTAGGAAGCATCCCTGAGAATGATCCGAAGACATGCCATCTCAATTTCGATTCTCTGCTGAGGGGATGGCACTCCCGCTTCGTCAAAATAATCTAAAATATAAACAATCAACCCCCCCTCCCAGCGGGCCGCGATAAAATTATCAAACATTGACAGGTCCGCAGTGATAAAAAGGTTGGGGAACACTGCCTTATATGATCTATGATAGCACATTGGTTGTGTCACTGAGAAGGATGTGGGTTCTGTCCTAGATAGAGGCTTGAGGGCACTCAGCTTTAGATCAATAAGTACCAGCCTGTTGGGGAGTAAAGGAATGCAATACTAACCATATGACTCCTTTTTTTTTTTCAAAATACTGTAGCTTCAATCTGATTTACACGGTGACATTTTGCTTTTACAAAAGTGCAGTAAGCGCCTGTTATATTGTGTGCATCATTGACGAGGTATCGTCAAGAAAGAATCATGATGGCTTAAAAGTATATTTAATAATCCAGCAATAAAACATTAGTATAACAAAATTACATGCTAACAAACACGTAACAAAAGAAAAGCAACAAACATCAATTACTAAAGTCCGTGCATACTCTATTAAGATTGGGAGACAATGCCGCTGTTCCGTAACTAAAGACTGTCTTCATGGATTTGTTAATGATGACGAGAAATGACATCGCAACAGCGCGATGTGTATTAATAAAGTTTATCGTAAATGTTAAATCTATCAATAAAAGTAAAAAACTATTATCTTTCTCATTCAGATTACCTAGACACAAGGCAGTTTCTGCCGTGTGTAATTTATGTAATCACCCTTCCCGTTGTTTAGTCCTGATAGTTTGTCTAAAATAAGAACTCCCCCTGGCATTTGTCTCAACCTGTGGTGGTGACGAGGTATGACTATTTCAAGTAGTAGTGTGAAATCACTGTTTTGGACTGATTTTGTCTCAGCGAGAAAAAGGGAATGTCTTTCTTCGGTCTGTTGTGTTAGTCCTAGAGTGAAGCTACCCTTCCTAAAATGTGCCATTCTTCTTTACGTAGCACCAGACGGCCTCAGACTTTGTGGTGGGAAGAGTTCTTAGCTTAGACAAATTATAGTTATCTTTTAAAATGTCACATCTTAGTAATAACATTATTTTAGCTTTAAAATTAGAATTTTTTAAACAATGAGACTTTTAAGTAAACAAATTTCTTTTCTAGGGTTTTGGATCAGCTTTTAGGAACAACTTATTTCCATGAACGGCATTTGCAATCCCTTGTTGAAAGATTGAAACACAGAGGTCGTGTAAATAGCATACAACATATGGCTGACCAAATATTTAGACTTTTCTCAACCAATGATGCAAATACAGATGTCAGTGAACCCCAACCCAAAGAAGAGAATGTTCCGGAATCTGAAAGTGTGACAGACTCTTCCAAAGTGGACATTGATATACTTATAGAATCTCCTAGTGATCCTGCACCTACCTTCTTTTTCACAAATTGTAACGATGACTGTTCTAACAAAAAGCCTTTGTTATCACCTGTAAGCCCAACTTCTGGAAACACCAGTGAACCCCGCAATCTGTGCCAGCAGCTCTGCTCCATTCTGAAGTCACGACTGTTAAAAGCTCACGAAGATGCCGAACTCCGTTTCGGTATGCCCCGTAGTGAAACTAGTGCTCTTCTTGCAGCAGATGCTGAGCAAATTCCAAAAGTGCCAATTAAAAAAGACTCTGAAGTGAATGAATCTGTTGAAGATACTGTGGGTGAAGAACATAAAGAACCTGCAGAGAAAGAATCCACGCCAAATCCGGAGGAAGATTTGCCGGATGAGACTTCACTTGGTCAAGGTAAATTTCATATTCTATTAAATTTTAAAAGTGTATTTCTTTTAAACCGACTACAGATTCTAAGAATATTCCACTTGCTTGAGCTGTGCAAAGATAGCTTACATATTTTGTTATTTATTTTAAACTTGTAGATTTATACCATAAAATGCTCTTATAACTTATTTTGTGTTAATCTTTTGAATCCTGTATGTTAAGACCAAAGAGTGTACTTATGACTGACTTTGTGATAATTTAGAGCCTGTAGGTGAAGACCTAGATTGTACTTAATTTTGTGTTAATTGTATGCAACCTGTAGATAGAGACCTTAAAATTCAAAATGTTTTTTTATTATGTAACCACATAAAAGAACACAGAGAAAAAGAAATATTCATACCTTACAGGGGATTTGAACCTATTATAATTTCTTATAATCAAACAATCATTAATGCACATTATTGTTCGAAACTTTTTTTTAATTTCTACCAAGTCTCTCAAAAAATATTTATGTTACAAAAAATGAAGGAAATAAAAAGTTTATAATTATTTTAGTGTTCATTGTGAATTAAAACAAAAAATTGAGGTTTAATTAGAATGCCTGGTGGAATAAAAGTATTTATACAGATGTATAAATCAGCCCCGAAAGCTAATCCTTTAGTCGTATTATAACTATTTACATAATCACATCACTGCTTCATACGTAATATAGGGCACTGTCTAACCACATATTAAAAATGTTGAATGTAGCAATTTAGGTAACACATTATGAAATACATGAGATGTATTTCTTGGTGATTGGCGCACATTAAATCTGTCAGGTCACAAAGTCCTCCATGTGTTCATAACAAATTATACCTCTGAGGGTATTAAGTTGCAAGTTGATCGTTCTCTGGTTCAGATCAAAATTACGATCTTTGGGTGAGTGGGTCCTGGTACTGGTGTGGCAGCAGTCAAATTCTTAGCCATAGATGGCACCACTGGAAAACAAAAACAATCGCACCTCTTGCCTTACTGACCTATGACAACAACAACAGTTGAACAAAAAAATTAAGATGTTATCGGTCTTTTTTTCTTTTTTTTTCATTGTTTTTATATCATATTTAGCCAACTTTCCCCATTTTAGAATGAGATTTTTCTCAAGCATATATAGTGGTATGAACGATTATACTTTTTACCATTTAAAATTTTATTAAATAAATTTCCAATTGCAATGTTTTTTTACCGCCCCACGTTTAAACAGTTTTGACAATGGTGCAAACCTTAATAATCATGCAGTGTAGATTTTAATGGTCTTATTGCTAAAACAGTCTATGGTGGTCTTATTGATAAAACATTTTACAACATAAGTACGGAACATTTCTTTCAAACCATATTTGGTTTTATCTTGATTCATGCAAGGGAACAGAATTTCACTGATATCAGTATTTTTAGTCCCCAAAAGATATTTATTCTCTAACTTCAAGTAACCTTAAAATCCAGCTTTCATTAAGTTTTTGCATTGGTTTTTTTAATCTGACAATATGAGAACAAGCAGGAAAATTTTCTGATAGCTGAGTAAACCAAAACAAAAGCAGCAACTTTCATTATTAGTTAACTCCTTGCTTTTGAATGTGAATGGTAGGGATTTGTTTCTTCCTCTCTACTGTCAGATTCTGTGTTTTTCTTCGACAATTGCTGTGGAACATGTACACAGATACATGGGTAACAGTAAAAGGTATAGAATCTGTTCAATAGTTAAAAAATCAACATGTTTTGTTTGTTAACTATTAAAAGTTTCGAATTAAAATTAACAGTTGTTGTGCTATATCTCCATTGCTTTATCTGGTTGTTTGATGCATGGTATAAGACATACCTTTTGCTTAAAAAATTGTACTAAGGGTGAATTTTTTTTTCGAGGGCTGGAAAATTTTAATGTGATACATAATTTCTGACATTTTCATTAAAATATTTGTTAAAAATTTTCTTATTAAACCTGGGGTTCCAATTAGGGCTTTGAATAAATTAGTTAGATGGTATTTATTTAAATTCTATTGATTTTTATTTATATCATAACCTGTTAAAATTGCATTAATGTCCTCAAAAATGTAACATTTGTTTTAAAATTTTAATGAACTTCAAACATGTTATATTCCTGAATAGTTATATCAACATAAAAATATATGTCCTAATTTTTACTGAGTCTTTTACATCTTAGATCATGCATCATTTTTCAGAAATATTTTTCAGCTTAGTTTGCAGTTGGAAATATAGGAAAATATTATAATTAGACATATTATTTTGCAATTAGTCAAATTGAAGAAATTTTAATTGCTTTAACTGTTTGGAGATGTGTTTTAACTGAAAAAAAATATTTATATTAATGGCTTTTGTTAATGTTTCTGATAATATAAATAATTTAGTACAAATACTTCTGTTGCAGGTACGTTTTCAATGCTTGAATCAGTTCCTGATAGTCATAAATATAAATTAAGCATTTTTCAGCCTACAGAACCTAGTGCCTTCTTTAGAATTGTTAGAAAAGAGGTCAGTATTTTTAATTTAGTGGTGCATTTTATTTTATTTTATTGACCCGAGATGTGTCATACATTCAACTAAATTTTTTTTTCTCTTTTATGTGCAGATGAAAATCTTAAAATCATCTTTGCCCGATGGAATCATAGTGAAAAGCTTTGAAGATAGAATTGTAAGAAGGAGATATACACATTTCTTTAAAATCTGAAGAAAAAATTTTTTAAATTTCATAGCTTTGGATAGTTTTTTAAATTTTGTCCAACAAGTTGATGTTGTTGGATCAAATTTAAGGAGTTGTCTTACAGGTAGCAATGTGTCATTTTCTGGTTCATTGTTTTTAGATCCGAACTTTTAAATTTTACTTCATTTAAACATTTGCGTACAGTGAGTGAAAAAGTAGGACACACGAAAAACTGCCAATTCTCATTTACAGAATTGTAAACTAATTAAAATTACCAAATGTAAACTTGTTTAAATTTGATTTTTAAATCCAAAGGATATTTGTAGAACGTATAAGAAAATTGTTTTTCCTTCCTTTATTATTGAAAAATTAGCATATTTGAAAATAGAAAATGGCAATCAGGATTTAAAAAATTGGTTTGTAAAAAAAAAAAAAAAAATTCACATATCGACTTTCATCGTGACATTTGAACGATGCGCAAAGGAACTCGTCTTTCTGACTCTGAAAAGGAGAAAATTGTTGTTTTTTGAAAATGTGGATTAATTGGATAGTAAATTTCAACAAGGATGACGAGATCTAAGACAGTAGTTTATAATTTTCAGAAAACTCCTAGAATGTATGACATGAAAAAGCAAACTGGGAGACTAGAAATTTGCCCCTGTTGACAGAAAAGAATGATTTTTTGTAGAGCAGCAAACGGATCCATTCCAGTAGTCTTTGTCAATTGTGAAATGAATTCCGACGAATATATTAATATGTTAGAAGAAAATTAGCTGGCTAAAATCCGTATGAAAACTTATACGAACTTCCAGCCCGAAAAATTTACGTGGACTCTTTAAGAGATCTTTCAGGATCCATGTACACTCTTCTTATTTAAGTTATTGTAATAGGGGTAGTTTTCTTGATTATTGTCAAAAAAAAATTTTATTATTATTAACGTCGCTATTCTTTTTTCCATGTTTCCATTGGTGTTAATTTTTCTAAATTCTATTTTAAAGTCAAATTTTATTTTATGCACCAATCAAACATATAAAAGTTTCATTTAGATGAAATGACAAGGTTTATTTTCGTACAATTTAATGTTGTGCTTATACTTTTTTCGCAGACTGTATTTGTTTGGAGTATAACTAAAGCCATATTTTTTAACTAAAAATTTTTTTAAAAGTATTATTATTTATCATATTACACTTTTTTTTCATCTACTATTCAGTTTTGTTATTAAGTGTAGAGAAGGTGTTTTGCTAGTGTTTGGAAAGATGTGGTCGTACTTATCACTTTACATGCGACTGAAATTCTCTAGTAAATTTCAAAATTTTAAGGACTTAACATGTTAAGAAAAATACTTATGTTATAGAGAGTTGTAATTTATATGTATTTGGTGATAAGATAGAGGAAAGGAATTTAAAAAACAAACACCAAAAGCAAGCTTATTTGTTGTTTGAACACTCCAACACATTGTTTTAACTCTAGGACATTTATTAAAATGGTATTCTTATTTACTCATTTCCTTTAACAGTGTAACTCTTAAGTTTAACATTAGATGGAAAATATCCTTCGAGTGCATTTAATATCTATATCCTGTAATTAAATTTATGAAAATTTGTAAATTCTGTAAAAAAAAATTTTAAAAAATCTTTATTTATTTTCTATTTTTTTACTTAGTCTATCTTAGTTTACTGCATTTATTTGTAATAACAATTTTAACGACGAACGTAATTTGTAAAAAAAAGAATATTTTCAATAGGATCTGTATTCAGTTTTGATCAAAGGCCCCAAACGTACACCATACGAAGATGGGTTGTTTTTCTTTGATTTCCAGTTTCCTGCTGATTATCCAAAGATGCCGCCACTCTGCCACTATATTTCATACTGCTCTGATCGCCTCAACCCGAATCTCTATGAAGGTGGTAAAGTGTGCGTCAGTCTTCTAGGAACATGGGGTGGAAAGGTAAATCATCTCTCATTCTACAGTCAGATGAGTTATTTTTGTTGTTGTCCATTACAGTACTAAGTATTTCAAAAATTGTTGAATTGTTTTTAATATAGGGGGAAAACGCAATTAGTTTTGTTTTTTTTATTAACATGGTGCGGAAATATAAAAATCACTCACTTTAAATTTTTTTTGAAGGGGAGCTTTTTTTTTATAAAGAACAAAATGATTCCTTGTGCACCACTGAAAAGTACAACACGAGGCGTAATTGTAGCAAACAATGTTGGCTTTAAAAGCAGAAATGCATACTAAAAGGAGCTTAAATGAGTTTTCACCTTTTTCTTGTAGAGATATTCAGCTAATGTAGAGATAAATTAAATTAGCATTTTTCATTAATATGGAGTGGTATGGTAAACATTGCTTTGATTTTTTTATATAGTGAAATAGGCTGTCACCTTCTTTAATAAATTTAGTAGAAAAGTTTCACCAAAATTTTTTACTTGTAATGTAAAAGAATTTTTTTCATTTTTTAAAACTCACTTAAAAAAACAATAAAACCTTAAGTTCTCTTTAAAGAAACCTTCTTTTTAAATTAACACAATAAAAAAGTTTGATTAATAAGAAAGGCAAATAATTTATTCATTTTTAAAAAAAAATTTTATTTAAATTAGTTTTCTTTTTTTTTTAATTAACTAACATATTGGAAAAGTTTAATGGACTTGGAATGGTAATGCAAACATTACTAATTTTATTTTTTTATAAACACATATAAATGTTTTAATTAACATTATTTAATGGGTCATCATGTGATGGAAAAGTTAGCATTTTGAAGTTAAAATGAGTTTTTAAATTTTATCATTAACATAGTTCATTTTAAGTAGATAATAATGATTTTGAATTACTTTTATTATATTTAGTAATCCTTAGATCTTTGACACCCATAAATTTATATCAACACTTGTCTACCATTATTTTGCAATGCTATGTCAATTACTATTACTGCATGGGCTGATTCTTTTCAGAATGTAAGAAATTTTTTCTTAACTGGTTTTAGTTCTCTTTTATCTCTTTTGCATGCAAGTGAATATTAATGTTAAGAATCCTCTCTGTAGATTGATGAGATGATAATAAGTAAATTTTCTTTGTTCATAATTGTTTTGAGTTAAAATCCTTGATATGGTGTGTATACTGTTTTTCTTTGAAGACCTTAACTGGAGGGTTCTGTTGTCTTCGGAGTACAAATCAATTATATATTTTTTTTTATTTATTTACTTACTTTATACTTTTTGTTCATTTTTTGAGATTTTCTTCTTGCTTCCAACTTTACTTAGGATACTATTAGATCAGCTTGTTTATGTTTGGCACTATGTAACCTAATCTGGCTTATGAACTTACCCTATACTCCAGGGCTCGAAAAAACTCAGAAATTTTACCTGTCCCCGAGGACGGCTTGTCCAACAATGTACCCGTCCTCCTTTGAAATTAACCCGTAGCTTATAAATAAATAAAATTATAATTTTCTCTTATTTATTACAAACATTTATGTAAATTGCACAATGAATTAGTGGTTACTAGAATTACAAATACTAGGATTACATTATACAGTAATAAAAGAAATACTATGTTACTATTCGTAAAACCTAGTATTTCTTTTATGAAATAATTTAAATGACAAAGGTCGTGTTATCTGGAATGTCAATTTATCTGAGGTTACTGCTTTNCGTTTTTTGTTTTTTTGTAAGTTCATTGCTGAAAAGCCCCTTTCAATTTGCTATTCTTATCCACTAGATTAGGAACTTCTGTGCACCATTTACAATAAATTAAATTTTTGGCTCTTCTTCACAGAACTCCCCCCATGGAAATTCTTTTTTCCAAATCTCTAGAAACGGTCGCTTTCTCTTCTCTTTGTCGTAAATTTGATGACGAAGGAATTAACGGGATTTCTAGATTAGAGGGTCATTTTAGAAGTGAGACTCTTGTAAGATAACAAAATTGAAAATGCATCATGAACATTGACGGGAAAATGGCCGTCCGCACGGAGGTTGGATTCGAGAAATTCGTTGTCTGCTGGGAATTTTTGACCACCGAGGACAGGCGGTTTTTCGAACCCTGCTGTACTCAACTGAATTTATGAATGTTTGTATTTTCATTTTCTTATTATGATTGTTCCAAGAAAAGTTTTTTTTTCAACATTTTTTTATTCAACAAATCTTTCATTACTTTTGATAAAAATTATTTTAGGGTACAGAAGTATGGAACCCAGAAACATCTAATCTTCTTCAAGTTATTGTTTCTATTCAGGGTATGTAGTGTTAATTGTTGTTTCTTCATTAAAGTATTAGAATGTTAATAAGATAATTCTTTGAATCTTGTTTTGCCTTTTAAATTGGATTATTTATTATTTAGATTATTTCATGAAATTTTTATCTATTTAAATTTTGAACAAGTTTCAAAATTAATTACAAAGTTCAACAAACGATGACAGTGCTTATGAAAAACTATCAAACAATGTTTTCAAAATAATCACCATTTGCAGCAACATGGGACAGTTTGAGGGTAATGTTTACAGATACCCTTGCAAATAGTACAATTGGGATGGTACGACATGCAGAAAAAAGCATTGTCTAGTAGTTTTTCAAGTCAGTAATGCTGTTGTACATTTCTATCTCCTTTTTGTGTCGATATGTGTTAGTTATGTACATGCAAGTTACTCCATGTTTTAAATCATTTAAAATGCATTTTATATTGTGCTGAATTGAAAATGTCTTTATGCTACAATTTTTTATAAATTGTTTTACTTTTTATTTAAAAAATTTGGTCGCAAATAAGATTTAGAACAAATATTAATTGAAATAATTTCAAAAATATATTTTAAATAGATAAGAAAAACAAAGGATTTTATACTTATAATTTGCATTTCAAATTATTAATGTTTGAATTATTTCATATGACATTTGTTTACTTGTGACTAAAAAAATTTAATACAATTTTTGTCCAAGGGAATGTTTTAATTTTGTGCATTGCATTAATTAAATATATATCTCAATTTCTTAATTTTTTATGAAACTTTTTGTAATTAATAAATTGTCTATGAATAGGTTACTTAATAATTAAGGTTTCTATCACCTACTTATGTAATATAATTTTAAAAAAAGAAAAAAAAAGTTAATTTTTAAAATTTAAGAAATCTAATGTCTCTTCAACTGATTCTTAAATTAATTGGTATTATGTGGAAAACGTGTTATGTTGCATAGTTTTGCTGTATGACTGATAAATAACTGCACAAAATTTTTTGCTACTCTTAATGTTAATATTTTTTTGGATTATTTTTCTTCTGATGACTTATTTGTGTTTGAATCACAGCTAATGCACATAAAAAGATGTAAAAACAAGATTTTAAGAGTTTACTTTTTAAAATTTAAGAAGAATTTTTTTTTTTTTTTACATGTCTTTTACAATTTTTTACATATAACTTAACTTGTGTCACACTAAATTGAAGTTCACTAATCTAGAAGTACATTAATAGTGTATATTATGCAAGTTATTTTAAGTATAAAGTAAATAATTGAGTTTATTTTTCCTGAAGGTTTGATATTAGTATCAGAACCGTATTATAATGAAGCTGGCTATGAAAGACAAAAAGGCACTCAACAAGGCATGGAAAATAGTAGGATGTATAATGAAATGGTTGTGTTAAAACTAGTCCAGGTATTCAGATTTTTAATTAGTAAGAAAAACCTAGTGAGTTAATTCATTTTATTCCAGAAAAAAAAAATTTGTAAGAATAATTAGTTTATCTTAAATATTTCAAGCACTCCAGTTAAATATTTTTAAAGTCCAATATATATCCAATATTTTCCTTGAATTAGTTACTATAAAAGTGTGTTATTATTAATTAGCAAGTAATTTAAATATAAATGCTTGTTCAAAAATTATGTTAAATATGAAACAAACTTGACTAAAAATCACTATAATCAATATATCTGTAATAATTATTTGCGCCTCAATATGATTCTATTAATAAAAAAGGTAGCTGCTAGTCTTTAAAAAAATGCACTGACATATTTTATTGTGTGATATTTTAGGTGGGTAACATTGTGTTGTAATTTCTTTTGCTATATACCTTTTAATTTTAAAATTTAGACAATTTATTGCAAATTTATTTTAAAAATTCTAACAGCATTAATAAATTTAATGTGAATAAAATTTTCATAAATATAAGAAGCTCAAAATGAGTAAACTTTTTAAATTAATTTTTTAGTACAGGTACTAATTTTAGAAGAATAAATGCTATAAAAATTATGTTTTTTTTTCCCAACCATATAAGTAATATAATGAATAGTTCTTCCATTTTGATAATATAATCACAGGTTTTTTTTTCTTGCACTATTTGCAAAATTACTATATATTTATTTTATTTTATTTTTTTTAAATGCATAACCTATTTCTATGATATAATAAATTTTCCGCTAGGCAAACATTCCCATATTTTAGTTAGTAATTATTGATATTAACTCCATCAATTAAGAGAGGAACTAAATATAGCCTATTATAATTTTTTTAGGCAATGGCCAAGTTATTGGTGAGTCCACCTGAAGTGTTCCAAGAAGAAATTGCAGAGCATTTTCAAACACAAGCGTCAAAGTAAGACAGTTATTTATTTCATTTTAATTAATACAACTTGCTCTCTTTTATGTGACTCACTATTACAGCAGTTTCTTCTGTTATTCCTACCCACGTATAAAGTCCTATTACCTATTGTTAGACACACTGTTATTTTAATGCACATTAGAACTACAATATTGGACCATTTATTCCATATGAGTAGCAGAAATATAATTATTCAATCAAGTTCAATTAATAATTGATTAATACTGTAAGACTTATTTAGAATCTACACGCTGTATATATTTTTTCATGATATTTTAGACATCCTGTTTATTAGACACAATTTAGAGCATCAAAAAATTAATATGAGAAGAGAAAATTCTAGTTTTTGATTAATATTTTCAATTTTTTTATTGATTCATAAAATATTTTGTATAGGGGTCACTTACCATTTCTTTTGTAGAAACGTTCAATGGCCGTTTAGCATAAATGTAGCTGAATTTCATTGATACAGCTCCTAATTTCATCTTTCTAACAAGATTGATTGTGGGTGTGTCGACTTTGACCCCAAAATAGTAAAATGACCCCAAGGAAAAAAGTTCAACTGCACTGAGTTGCGGGATATGGATGACTACTTTTGATCACCCTAGTAGAAAATTACAATGAAGCAACTTTGCCCAAAATTTGACTCATCAATGAAAATGTGCTGTTAAAAATGTAACAATACATTTTTTGTAATGATGAACCATCACCTGTCACTCTTTTTTTATGACATTTTATTTTTATGAGGCAAATGGTTTGAACTTCAAGGCACTTTTTAGCAATATGAATTTGCAAAAATAATTTACTCTTGCCTGTTAAGAAAACATTGGTTTATTAAAAATTTCATGTTTAAATCTTTGGGAAATATTAAAATTCATCCACACGTATTTCTGTTATAATATTATACAATACCTTTTATACCCTGCCCAGGATTGATGCGCCCTAAGGAGAACTTTTGAAAATTTTATGAACTTTGAAAATAGTTCAAAATAAAGCTTTAAAACGAAAAAATTGGTTGAATAATGAATTGAAACTTTAGGAGAAAAGTTAAAAATTTGGAGGAAGGAAAAATTTTTGAGCTTTTTCTTTAATTTTAAAATCTCCTAAAATCGTAAGTATTTGTAGAAGGAACCTGATACTATGCATGTTTTGTTGATAATACGTAAAAGAGTGATATTATTTTCGTTTTAATGTACTTTTTTTTTTATTATTATTTCTTCATGATTTTGAGGAAGGTTTCATTAATTTTTTGTGCACCTATGTTAATATTTATTCTTAACTGATACACACAGTCGATAAAGGCGTCGCTCACTCAGTTGATCGAGAATTTGGGTTGTAAGTTCAAGCCTGACAGTTGACTATACAGCCCACACATGTCTATGCAGCAAAGTGCAGGTTACATCAGACATGGCTGAAAGTCCACTTTTTAGTTGGGTCTAGGTGCCAACTCGGGTCCTGTCTGCATTGTTCGACTAATAGATAGATTCGACTAAAAGATAGTGCTAAAAAAAATTCAAAAATTGACGCTTGTCGCTTATTTATGGTTAGGTTGGGTGTGTAGCATTGTTGCATATGCCGCAAATAGTGATCCCTCCAATGACATTAGTAGGTTTGTTTATTAAACAAAATGTGTGATTTCCCATCAAAGTAATTTTGCAATCATCTTTTATTGAATCAGTATGAAACATCTTTTTTGTAAATATGCAATGCCCATCAAACTATTTAGATTTTTAAAAAATGATTTTTGTGAATTAATTTTAGATATTTTTATAAACAACTGATGTATCCTTTAAAAAAATTTCATACTTCCATAAATAAGATGAATAGGTATGTTATGTTTATAAAAAAAGTTATATATAGTCATACTGATTTCTGATTATTAATTACTTATCTTCTGTTAAATTATATCTTTATTTTCATTGATAAAATTGTTGTCTCAGTGAGAGTGTTGTGTAAAGTAGAGTAAGACAAAATTTCTTTTTTTTTTTCTAAACTACTAGTTTCTTACAAATAATGTGCTCGTAAATAATATCTGTAATAATATCTTTATAAAATAAAATAAAGTAAATAAGATCTTCAAAAGTTTCATTAATGTCTTTCTTCATGTCTTACAGGCTAATTAAAAGGTTAGAAGGATGGTTAACTATTTCAGAAACTTGGAATACAGCTCATCCTACTTCTCCTACCTCACCCACCACATTTAAAGAACTATACAATTCAGGTAATTTATCAATACGTGTCTCAAAAAACTCAATTGTTTTTCTAGTTGTTGATGTCACTTGAGTTGTTGGTCAATATGCAAAAGATGTGTCTTGCCTGTATTTCAAGAATGTCTAACAACAACTGCTAAGATAAATTTATATTTAATAAGAAATTTACATTGGTTATTTATATTTTTTTTCCCTATCAAAACTTATTGTTTGCAATTTTTTCATAGCATGTTTTTAAGACTAATAGTTAGGTAAAATTATAGTGGGAATAAAAGATTTTGTAAACTTAAACGACATCAACGCTTTTAGATTTATGAAAATATTTCAGTATTTGAAGGGTACTCAAAATATAAGAGTATCTGCAATCTGGAAAATATGGTCCAAATTCACCAACAGTTTAGGCAGGAGGTCAGCCAAAAATTTGAGCTCTGTAACACTTCTTACATTTTTGAACTTATCTCCACAACTAATGAAGTGAATGGGAAAAAATTTTTTTACATGATTATCTAAATTGTTTATAATGATAATGCCTTGTAAATAATTATTTTTTGTTTATTTTATGTACTAATGATTGAAAAAATTACAATTCTTAGGTTTGCAAAATTTGAAAGATATCTGTTGAATAGTAATTGAGTAATAAAAATTGAAAAAAATATGGCTTCTTTGAAATGGCAGAAACACAAAGAGTGAAATTAACATTAAGATGTCCAAATTTTTATCTGCTCAGGAGGCTGAACTATTGAGACCATAATTACTACATTGTAGCACCCCCCCCCCTCAATCATGCTGTGAAGGTGATGATCAAAATCAGTCAGAAAAAAATTTTAAGTAAATTCAGAGAAAGTATGCTTTTGTGTCTGTTTTTGTAACTTAAAATATCATCTGCACTGATTAATTATCATATTTAATGTTAGTCAGAACTATCTAACTTGATTGACATGCATACAATAGTTTTTGTCACAGAATTATATTGACAATCTGTTTTGGTAATTGTTTAAGTAACTGTAGTAATCATTAAAACACAACACATGCTTTCTTAAGCACTAGAATTAGGTCTTTTTTAGATAAACCAGAATTGAAAAATGCAATTATAATAAAAATTTGAGTATTAGCTTAATTAACTTTAGCACCATGTGAAATGCAAAATAAAATCAATTTAGGATAATAGTTTTTATTCATGTATTTTATTTGAATAATAAAATAAATTAATGAAATAGGAGTCTCCAGGAAAAAAGGTTGCCCTGCCAAAAATCTTGGCATGTTAGATGCGAAAAATTTTAGAACAGTGGACTTGCCTACACAGCAATGGCAAACGCTAACTGGGATGGCCTTGTCTGTTCTGTAGAGGAAGAATAACAGGAGTTGAATTTGACCTGATAAATCAAGACAGTGCTCGTTTAAAATTGAAAGTGGCAAATAAGTTACTTTCATAATTTTTATGCTGATGAAAAACTTGATCTATCATCAACTAATAAAAAATTCAGGGAGGGGAGCAAAAATCTCTCCTATTTTTAAAAGAAAGTAGTAACTCTTTGATGAGAAAATTAAAACAAATCTCTGCGACTGCAAGATATTTATTTTAAAAATGATTTCCTGATGCACATTAAGGGTGGGCAATTAATATTTAAATGAAGATTGTGAGGTAAAAAAATTTCACAATTTTTACACTTCCACAATTAGTAGATTTTTGATATTTGACAAATTTTATTGCCTAAATATTAAATGGCAACTCTTAATGTACAATCTTTTTTTGGGGGGGGGGGAGGTTTAAAATATTTGGGTCTATATGTCCTGAAGTGTTTATTTTTTTTTACTTAATTTTTAAGGGATTTCAAAACTATGTATGTGTGTTTCCATTACTATATGTTTGTATATTTTTCTGAAGCTTTAATTTGATTTTTTTGCTCATCTACAGTAGGTGACAACTCAACTCATGGTGTTCATTTACCGGAATTTCCCTTGATTCCTGCATCTAAAGGATTTTGTTTAACTCTGAGAAAGTCTCTGGCAGATTTCAGAAGTCTTCTCCTATCTTCCAACATCAATATCAGCTAGTCTATAAATTATTTAAACAATTTTCCTGTTTTTGTTTTGTTTTTTGTTTTTAAATAGAATATTAATACAGTATTTAAGTATACATAGAATTTGGTTAGTCATCGCAATAACTTATTTCTCGTTGTTCTGTGTATTATCCTTTTTTTTTTCTTCAAAAAATTTAGTTCCTGTTTTTATGAATTTGTTAGGATCTCTTCTCATTTTGGAAATGTCTTTTGAAGGACTTCATTTTTGTTAGTCAAAAAATTTTATTATTTATTTTCTTTTGTTCTTATTTTTATCTGATATTTATTGTTATAGCCTGGATTTTGATGACTTAAAATGCTCTTTAAATATAAAAATATCTTAATTATACCTAAAATCTTTTATCATTAAGCAAAATATTTTAATCTTAACTTCTTATCTAAAGTTTAATTCACTACATTATAACAGGGTACGTAGCATTTTTAAAAAGTTCTTAAAGGTGCTTATTTTTTATTTTCATTTTTTTGAAGCTTTTAAAAGGTGCTTTTTTTATTCGGGGTTTGTAAAAAGTGCTTAATTTTACACTTTAAAAAAGGTTTTTTTTTCTTTGCCATGTCAATTCTCTTTCTAAATTACAAAAAATGCATGATTTTCACAATTTTCTATACAATATTTATCAGAAACTAGTTATTTTATCATGATTATGTCAAGTTCGTCAAATATTCTTGAATTTTATTGATTTTATGTTCATAAATTAAGAACTTTAAACAATAGAAAAAAATAATTTTTATTACTGCATAGATCTTAATTATGAATTTTTTTTTTTAAGTGATTAAAAATATTTTTTGTGCTTAGAAAGTTCTTAAAAGGTGCCTACTTTTTGTTGAAAAATCTAGCTACGCACCCTGTATAGATGTGTTAAAATGCATTTATTAAGAGAGATATTGATCCAATACTTATTAAAATTTTGAAATTGACATTATGTTAGAAAAACTAAGAAAGATATTGAAGTTGATTTATATTATAATATAAAAGGCAGAGATATTTTTGAAAAATTTCTTATAAAAATTGACTTAAATATCAATAAAACAAAAAAATATCCTAAAAATGAATGAAAAAAAAATGTATTAAAATGAAAAACAAATATTACTCTCTTAAATACAAAAATACCCTCCCTTTCAAAAGAAATCTTAAAAGAATGTCGTTAAAATCCAGGCCATATTTATTATCTTTATTTTAGTCTTTATTTCTACAAAATTTTATTTAGTTTGATTACGATGATGAACAGGTAAAATTAGTACATTTGTGGAATAATTTTTGTCTCCTGTTATTGAAATCTGGTACTTTCAATGCTCAACATATTACTCTGAAATAGTGTAACATTCTCTGTGCGTCTCTTATAAAACTGTCACTTAAGAAAATTGTTTGATGTTCTACTTGTTAAATAATGCATAAAATTATTACCACCAAAACAAAGTAATGACAAATGCAGGGCTTCGTACGGTATTTCGCTGAACATATTTATTCATGTATATCTTTCATACATTATATATATTTATATTTCTAGATTCAAAGCAATACTAAATAATACTCTTCGAAACTCAACAATTCAGAAACTACACATTTTTTCTTCAATTCTTGATACCGCTGTTAATTTTTTTTAAAAGCAATGTGATTTCGTTATAATATTTTATTCATTCAATAATAAATTCAGTGCAATTTTTTGTTATTTTTGATGGTTGAAGATAAGTTAAATTTTTATAATTATTTTAGAAGGAATATCTATATGAATGTACTTGCTTATTTTTTATTTATTATGCTGGAGAAATTTTTTTTTCTGTTGCAGGAGAATTTTTAACGAATCTTAGATAAGTTCATGTTGCTGATTTCAATTCTGCAGTTGGTTTCTCTATCCAAGCTACATTTTATTTCATGACATTTTTAGTCTATTTTTTCGTCGATCTGTACAAGTTTAGAAATGTACAAGTCACATAAATGTTGCGACAAATTTCTAGGGGATCACATCATCAAAATTAAAATTGTGTAGGAACTGATGCCCAGATATTTCATCATACGCCATTAGGGATGCATCCTAATTAAAAACTATTATTTTGTGTTGTTTAGAATAGGTCATAATAAGGAAGCGTCTCTAGCCGTGTACGAGGACAATTCCGGTATGGGTTTTTAAGCAATTTAAATCCTAATGAAGTGCTTTAGCTATCATCAGTTCTCTAGATGTTTGTTGCAACATTTACTCGACCTCCTGTTATGTATAACATTTTTAAGCTTACACATATAAGAAAAATAGACTAAAAATATTCTTTAAAAAAATCTGTAGCCTTAAGAGCAAAGCTAATTTCAGATTTGAAATCCCTTCACCTAAATAGTCAAGATATCAAATACTTGTATAAATACGTCAACAAATATTTGTTCTTCAGTCTTATGCAGCAGTACTGTTTATAAAGTGTTTTGAAAAAAAAAGTGTAGATATATTTTTTGATTTTTAATTGTAGTAAGTTTGGTTTAACCTTTTTTTAAAAAAAAATATATCTATATTAAACTTTTTTATATACTTATGTGCAAAAAATAACTCATTTTATTTGTTTTTGTTCGAATACTGCTTAAAAAGTTAGTGTGGTGTTTTATTTTTATATGCAACTATGCTTTTGTAGTTTTAATTGCTTTATGAAAGAAAATCTGGCAGCAAGTAATAGCTAATTGCTTTATTTTAATACTATTATTTTTCTAATTAAAGATATAGTTTAAAAGTTTTGATTTTTCTGAAGAAAAAAAAGATTTTGGTCTCTTTTTCTTACCGTTATATACTGTATTACTGTAATAAATGCCACCATTACTGTAACTCACAAAAAACTTTACTTTGTCATATAATTGTATTTAAAATTTCAGCTAGTTTCAATTTTACTTTGTTGTGTTCGATTGTGGTTAGAAATATTTATAAGCTGTTGTCTTAGTATTTATGTAAAAAAAAAATGTTTTTTATAGTTCTCCTTTATACAAATGTATAGGGTTAATATCGAATAAAAATTTATATTTTAAAATGGAACAACAGTCTTTTGCATTATTAAATGTTAGCTTATTAAAAATTTAAACTAAAACCTTTAAAAATTACCTAAATGAATCCCCTTTTGAAACTTTCAGTTGTTTAAAAGTTATTTAATTATTGTGTAACTTAGTTTTAAGATATTCAATTGTACTATTGGTTCAAAAACATCTCCAGTAAATATCCTATAGAGATGACCTGTTTTTGGACTTGTCTATTCTGTAAAAATCATTGTTTGTTGCAGTTAATGAAAGTTATTTTGATAGTGATCTAAACATGTTTAGTAATAAAAAGAATTCTTTTTATTTACTTATATCAAATATTTAATGAACATGTTTAACGATACAAAAAATTTCATTTTACTTATAACGTGAAGTGTTTAGCTTGGTCATTTACATATAGATGGATTATTAATAACTAATTATAATATATATTTTTTGAATCTTCATTAAAAGTAATTTTGAAAAATATGCACATTAATGATCACAAATTATTTAAATAAGAAAATAAATTATTTAACTCCTATGAATTATTATCAAGTTTCATCCGAGGAAAGGTTCAAATCTTTTTTTCAAAATCTAGCTTTTGGGGGCTGAAGATGAAAGTAGCACTTATTTAAAATTGGCCTTTCAGTCCTACCTATCAATTAGATTGGTTCTTCCTTTGCTATCGTTAACTTGGATTACGATCCCTCTCAATTTGATATTTATTTTTTGCTTTTTCCCATTATACTTTAGATTGCATATTTCTCCTTCTATTGACTTAACAGTCCACAGTAGTCCAAGGCTTACCAAAAAGCATTTTTCATTCTCATTTGTGCATAGTGATAGTTTACCAGTTTGTAAGTTTTGATATTTTAAAATCTTACACACATGCAGTCAACTTAGACTTACCCCTAGTTCTAATATTTAAGATTAGGGGTCTGTTTGGCAAGCATAACCCCCAAATCTCGAAAGGCAGATCCTAATAAATTGAATGATACCTGCATTCTTAAATAACCTCTATAATTCAAAATTGTGTTGTCATTTTTACAGAAGCAATTTTACTTTGGGTTTCTCTCTGAAAGATTGATGCTTATGTGTTTCATTTCAGTATTTCTAAAAATATGTATTTACAGAACATCCTGTATATATAGTTCTCTTTTTTGTTGTTGTTCCATTTCAGCATTTTTTTAAAATGTTGATCTAAATTATATACTTAAATATCTGTATATGCATGTAAAAGAAAAGTAAAATTGTAAATATGTATATACAAATATCATTTAACTCTGCATTTCACTCGTTGGATTGTATATTATGTATTTGCATTCTCAATTCCGTTGCAGAGTGTTTGTGTGAAACTTCGATACATTCAGCTCACAAGAATTCAGTGTTAAAAAATGCAATAAATGCATGGTTTGAATAGATAAATTTTTTACTGCTGATTATTTATTTCCTGAAAGATGTGTTTGTTATTATTTGGTCTGTGAATTTGATTTGAGCTCTTTTTTCTTGTATAGCCTTTGTAAATTAATTTGCAGTTCTAGACAAGCTGTTAGTCAGGTAAGAGCTGTTACACTGCTGTTTATAAGTCTAGCACTGCAGTTGTTAAATGAAGAACAAAAATCATGTTGGTGATTCATTAAAGTTTAAACAAAGATAGAGGATGATGTTTTATTTATTCCAGTTTTTGAATGCATGTCAAAACAAGTTATTACAAAAAGACTCGCATGCAAATTTTCGGTTACTAATGACGCAAAAACTGAATTTGGAAAAAAATAAATGGGGGCGTAAGTATACATTTTACTGTATTCTGCTTAGGAAACAAGTTCTGAAATTAGTAACAAAATTCGTCTACAGATGGCGCTCTTGTTCTGAGAAAACCATAAACAATGTTTTCAAGAAAGCCGCTATTCGCGGTAACAAAATGCATCATATTTAAACTGTAAATATAAAAATATGATGCAGTTTGAAAATAAAATTTAACAGAAATCTGAGCAAATAATAAGCTTTATAATATATCTTGGCAAACTTTGGCTAATTTTGAAACTTAATAAAAAAGTTTTATAAACTTATTTTCGTGTCACCTTGTAATTTAACATTAACAATAATTAGTAAATTAGTATTTATTACTTTACTTATAATTAGTATTTATTACTTTAACTAAAGTATGGGAAATACAATATCAATACATTCCTTGCACATAATTATGAAATTCGTCGTAACATAATAGATTTGATTTTAACTCATTTCTATTTAAAACAATTAATTTATACATAAATCTTCTTCATTTTCTTTCGTTTTTTCTTGCTTTAGTTTCTTCAACTGAACTTTTACATGATTTAAAATTTTTAACAGTGTTGAAGACGATGACCAAATCGAAATTCCCAGCCAACATCCGAGAAACCCTCCAATGTAGCTAAATAACTCAACAGCCTAAAAAAAAAGTGTAGAATCTTTATAATATCCGTAATTTTAATAATAATACAGAAACTCTGGAATTGAAATTTTTTCACTACTTGACTATAGTTCGTTCACCAGTAGTTGACACTTGGCTCCGCCTTCATCACGTGGTATCCGAGGATACTATTTCTCTATTATCGGGAATAGGATGTGAACTAGGTTGACAAAAGGACAAGGTATGACAAAAATATTTATTTCACAATTTTTATGTGTATTTTTTAACATTAAATATTTCATAAATTTGATGATATTTCTCTCCTTTGAGTGAATAGTTTGTCCTTTTTGAGGCATTTTGCTGCATTATATTTAATTAGCTAGAGTAACCAAAGGTACAGTAGCAGATGATAAAGCGAAGTAAGTGACTGAAAAAGAATTCACTGTTTGTGTTTGGAGCGCATTAAGGGTTGTCTCAATTTCAAGCTCGGAGAAATTTCTTCTCTTCCTTCCACCCCTTAATGAATTCTTCGGCCTAGGAGGTGGAGCCAAGTGCCAACGAACGAACTATATTGCCTTTAGGCTTTAGTTTTAAGCATTGAGTAAACATTCCATATAAAGCAAAAATTTAGAATACATATTACAAATTTTCCACAAATACTCAAAACTGAAAAAAAATATTCGTTATAAAAGTATGACGTTTTCAACAAACTTGATATACAAGCCTGTTTAATTTGCTTGCAGAATAAAAAAAAATCTTAAAGAGTTTTTGAAGCTTGTTTAATTATCGGAAGAATAATGCTATCAATTTTTAATTTTGAACCCGAAGTAAAACTTAGTTATTTTTCCCCTTTAATTTCATTTCAGGTGATGCTAATGCTTGATATGTTTTTGTTTTTTTTTTAATAATATTTTTTTTAGCTTTTATGATTGCAAAAAATAAATGCCCGCAATTCAGAACTTTTTAGAGATAGTACTTTAATTTGTCTTCGGGGAATTAAATTTGACCTATTTGAATTTTTTAAATACTTATTTTCTTTAAAAAAAAAAGTTATGCTATATCATACGATTGCATAGAAATGTTTTTAAATAGTTTCAACTGAAAAAAAATTAAAACATGGATATTTTTATTTAAAAAAAAAAAAAAGCGTTGCAGAAATTTGAATATAATATTTTCAAAAGTTGAAATTATGTATTTTTAATATTTTTCTTTTAAGGATTATTTTGAATGTTTTTCGAAAAATTTGTAAAAAGATTATATTTTTTTTAAAAATCAAAACAATTTTCGCTATTTAAAAAAAAAAATTTATGTGTTTGTTTCAAACCTACCTATAAATCCAAAAAAGAAATCTTAAAAACTCATATAAATTGAAAAAAATAATGATAGTTTTCTATCCCTACTTTTCCCATATAAAAACCAAACATACAGAGGATAACCGATAATAACTCCCTTAATGTATATTTTTAGAATCTTTCTCCTAAGGAAAATCAAAAAAATACTCTTATCGGGAAGTTGCAAATAAACATTTTACCAGGAAAAAAAAAAAAACATTAACACTATAATAAGCTAAGTGAGGAGGGGTTCTGAAAATATAAAACCTGTTTTATTGCTGGGGGAAAAGTTGATTGTTGGAAACGCCACTAAGTTTTATCAGACAATACTTTTTTATTTATTTCACGCAACAGTTTTTTCACTAGTAATTACACAGATTTCGATAGAGTTTTTGTTCCTTCTCTTAAATATTAATTTGCCACCCTTAATTTACAATATGCAGGAAAAAACACTTACTACGCAATCTTAATGGTTTAGTGGGCCTCACCTTTAAGGGTCAACTTACATAGGTAATTAATTAGTACAGACTATATTTTAAATTACGAAATCAAGCACAAAAACGTACTTCCTTAGATCAGTGTCTACCAACTGGCGGGCCGCATCCGTCCCGCGAAGCTTTTTTTGTGGCCCGCGAACTAAAATATATCAGTTTTCATTTTTCTGCGGACAATTTTCGTAAAAAATCCATATGGGTTTAAAATACTGTTCTTTCGTTAAAAAAAAAAAAAAAAAAAAAAAANAATCAAAAAAAAAAAAAAAAAAAAAAATTTCAAGTTTTGCAGCCAGTAATTCAATACTTTTGTTTTGATAAAAATCTGACAGTAATATTTAATGTTCCTTCAAACATAAAAAAGTTTTGACAAAGTTGCGGCCCGCCATTTGACTGGTGCTTTTAACTGTGGCCCTCTGCCTCATGTTAGTTGGAAACTCCTGCTCTAGATAAATAAACCTTTTTTTTTCCCGACGGATCTGAATTAAATCAGTCACATATTTAAAATTCAATACATCAGGAACCAAACAATTTCAATCAAATTTTACATTTTTCAATACAAAATTATATTTTAAATTGTGTAAAAATTTGTCTAAATTTTTTTTCGATTATTTCTTAAAAAAATATAATAAATAATTATTGATACTTATTTTTTTGCATGGAATTATCTTTGATTAAATTAAACATTAAGGTTAAAGTAAAAAGCAACGTGAATAAGCAACGTGAATAAGCACGAAAGAAAGAACATAATGTGACAGGCTATAATTTTAGTTCCATAACCAAGAAGTGCCTAAACGTCAAATGTCCATTTCACATTTAGACACAGAAGACCATGATCTTTAGTCAAAAATTAAATTTCAACTAAAACATGTTTAGGCAGCTTTAATATCGCCCAAATTAAGTATTCATAATCATTCCAAACATTATAATTTACTTTTTGGACCGACGAGAGTACAATGTAGTGAAAAATATGTTAAAACAAATTTGTTTTTAATGTAACTTATAAATTTATATTTCCGAAATATATATAGGAATTTCACGAAAAAAACCAGCCCAATTTTGCCCATATTGCAAAGTTGGACTAAATATACCGAAAAACAAAAATTATTTTTTTTCCCTCATGTTTTCGCGTTATTTTGTAATATTACTTCGGAAATATAATTTGCTTTTCATTTTTAATATAAAATTACGAAAATTATTATATTTTCATTGCTATATTTAATTATTTAAGCGTACTATATATATATAATTTTTTTTTGCTCGCCATATTTCAGACGCCATCTTGTTTTTTTGTTTTTTTTTGTATTTTTAGTGTATTTCAAAATTTCAATTATGAATTCAATTTACCTGCAAATGAAAACCCTGAATAAAAAACCCCAAATTTTGAAACAAATTTTATCGAAATACTAATTTTGGCCACGAAGCCTTGGATGCTGGCCCACTGTGCACTGATGAATACGCATTTGTGCTTGATTCACGTTTTTTCTTTTGTATGTACATACATAGCACAAAGCTTTAACCCTCCAAAGTTTGGACTCCTTATGTTAATTTTACTTTCTGCGTATTTTACTATATCTCTAGAACTGTTTAAGCGAATTGAATACTTTTGCGCAAAATTATAATATTCATTTTTCCAAGGACTACGCCAGCAAAAAATAATTTTTAGTCCAAAAAATAAGTTTATTTTAAAAAATATTTATTTTTTATCATTTTATTTAAAAATGGCCGAAAACATTTTGAATTGCAAGGCATACAAATTTTTGCATCATTTTAGAGAATATAATTTTACACGGCAAAATTTGAGCACAATATCGATCGAATAGTTCCTGAGAAATCTAATTTTAAATATCTAACTTTTTTGATATTCAATTTCCCAGGAACTATTCGACCAATTTTGCTCAAGTTTTGTATTTTTCCTTGCAAAAATTATATTCTTTAAAATGATGCAAAAATTTGTATACCTTACAAATCGAAATTTTTCCGACCATTATAAAATAAAATAATAAGCATTTACTAAAAATTATTTTTTGCATGGTCTTTAGTTAAAAGAATTCAATAACTGCGTGCAAAAGTTTTTCAATTTGCTTAAAAAGTTCTCGAGGTGTAGCGAAATACAGAAAAAGTAAAATTATCATTAAGGGGTGCAAACTTTGGAACATTCTCCTAACCAAACGATTGGGACATTATTTCCCAGATTGCGACTGCCTTATATTTTAGGAGTCAGAAATCCGAATCCGTCGAAAAAGGCAGGTTTATTCAGAGAAAGTACGTTTTTGAAAGTACTCACTTATTAATTAGCATATTTGAGGTCTCCGCTTCGAGCCATAAAGATTGAGTCTTAGAAGGTGAAGATCCGATCATTAGATCAGAAGTTATCAATTGTAATCCATTTTATTTATTCATTTACTTATTTATTTACTAATTTATTTATTTTTGGCGCACTTTCGACAAGGATTCCTGAAATATATATTAAAGGCAGCTGATGAAGAATACTCTGTATATTTTTTATAATACAGTAATAGACAAGCCCATAGAAAGCAAAAATATTCATTGATTTTTAACAAGAAACATGATTCGAGCCACGATGGCTCAGGGGATAGAGCGTCCGCCTTCCAATGAGGTGAACCGGGTTCGAATCTCAGCGATGGCTGATCGATACGAATCTGCATCCGGCACAGTGCTGACGTGAAATATCCTCAGTGGTAATGATTGGTTAGAGTCCCTTTGCCGTCAAGGTTACCGTGAGAGGTTCTCGGTGTCTTCCTCTCCATGTAACGCAAATGCGGGTTAGTCCCATCAAAAGTCCTCCACGAAGGCAAAATTTCTCCCAATACTTGATCCCGAAGTTCCCTTGTCTTCTGGATTGGGTTCAAAATTACAAGGATATGTAGTTGAACGTAAATAGTCGTAAACCCAAAATTTGGGCCAGTTGTTCACCGACGGTTATAAAATAAAATATAAAAAGAAGCATGATTCTGTTTCACTTACCAAGTATTGAGGTTTGTGAGCAAATACCAGTACTTCCGGTTCATCAATGACAACATCAATATGAATTCTCGCTTTCCTGAAAAATAAATTTTAATGATAATCAGCTGACGAAAAATACAACTTTGAAGGTATCTTTATTTAAAACATGCATGCTTCAAAAATAACTATAACAGACAGCGTTTTGTTGAAACAAGAAGAAAAAAACATGCTTGAAAACAACTGGAAAAAATTTACTTATTAGTTTTATGGATTATATGTATATTTAAATGCTCGTTAAATTGTTAGACTCTCATTATAAAATTTTAGTTGAGAACAGAGATAATTTTTTCTTTAAAAATTGCATTTGTGCTGATACGCAATGTGACACAGGGTGTCTTGAAAAATCTTGAAAACTGTTCTTCATTAAGAAACTTGCCATCTAATTTAATCGGAAATCGAGTTTTGAAAACAAAAGCAGTAAAAAAATAAAAAAAATTACAAAAAAAAAAAAAGTCACTGTCCGTAGATTAACATGAAGGAAATAAAATGGTTTTTCTGCCTTAAGGAAACAATTCTATTGATTTTCTTTCTTTTTTTNTTTTTTTTTTTTTTTTTTTTTTTTTTTTTTTTTTTTTTTTTTTTTTTTTTGGATTCATATAAAGCTCTACTGATAATTATATTTAATAAGCATATATTGTTATTGATAAGTTTATTTAGTAAGCATATATCTGATAGACATCAAATGAAGAATAACTTACCTTCCACGCAAGTTTTTATCCTTCAAGACAGCGCGGTAAAAAAAAATATATAAATAATTTTACGGAATGAATAAATTCAAATATCATAAAATGAAGTACAGTTTAGGTAATAGAGGATTTTACATGAAAAATTGGAGGAAATATTTGTTTTTTGTTCATTTATGTCTTCTAGGATTATGTCACATGAATCCACTTTTTGCGGCCAAAATTTTTTTTCGGGAATCATATTTTTTCTCCAGAAAAACCTGGAAAAATTCAGCTTTTTTTTTTCATTTTGGTTTAAGATTTCTAATGGCATGTTTGAAAACTTGAGACATTTTTCTTAAAATTATATAACTTAACAAAGTTTTCGTACAGGGTAATAAATCAAAGCATTATGAGTATAGGAATAATGAACATTTTTGGAATGATGAGTCTTTTAGTATTTCAAGGAGAAAAATAGAGAATAATTAATAGAGGTTTGAAATTTATAAGAAAAAATTCTCTTATAGACCTAGTAATTTATAAAATAAATATTTCCAATTCTAGAAGGGAGAAATCCTTACTCTCCCACAATAACCGTAATTTATCCTAAACCTTTCCAAAATTCATAATTTTCAACATCTTTTCCATCTTTCCATCAGCATCTGGCGAATTATAAACTGCATTTCTTGTTTAATATTTAATGTAATGGTAATTTCTTTTCAATTTTTAGCAATTTAAATTTAAAATGTAACTAACATTTTTTACAGTGAATGAAAATTTTATATTAAACAAAAATAACAACGTAACAGAGCAGAAAAAACATTGAAAAGGTAAAAAAAGTTGTATTTATTAAGTTTAATATAAAATTTACCTATATATATATATAATCTTTATTATTTTCCATTCTTTCTCGTTTCTTAACCTATTTTATGAGTTCTATATACTTGCAGCTTACACGCCGAAAATAAAACTTATTTCCTTAATTTTCTTCGTTTTCTTTTTGTCCTTTGTCTTTATTGTGCTATATACAGCGCTGTTACATTATTTTTTCACATATCAGTATGAAATATCAATGCAAAACTGGGGGGTTGGGGACTTTTCCTCCAGTTTATTCCCCATTTTCTGCAATAAGCACCTTTACAGTGAAAAATATCAACAAAAAATGTAAAGGTTTATATATAAGTTAAAATCAATTTCATAATTTAAAGATAGTAGAGCAAGTATATTAGTTTTATTCTTCAGTTTGTGTTCTAATTTCTGGTAAATAAAAAGAACAGTATGATGATAGAAAAAAATTAGAATGCGCAATGTATAATATTTTAAATATCTCTGATCTCAGTTGTTACAGTTAATTTCTAATTTTGAGCTTCACAATAGCATGGACTACTAATGTATGCGATTGCTGAACAGCAGCCATATATAGCCTTATTAAGTCTATATTGCTCTGTGCATTTTTTTTTTCTTCAATAAAATGAGTTGAGCCTGCTTCTACAATGTCCTCTCGCGAAGAAAAAAAAATCGTCATAAATAGAAATTAAACTATATAACAATTAGATTAGATTTTAATTTCAGTTTTTACCATTTATGATCTAAAAACGGTATAGAGAGAAAGATTATTTATACTGAAGTCGTACATGTAAAACAAAAAGATGACTGTGTAATTGTATTTTACCCTATGCACATATGGCTGTTCTTGAACTCTGTAAACATATTTCCTCTCCCTATAAAATAAAACTAAAACTAGTATTGATCATAACTTATTTTCTATAAATAGTAAACATTTTTATATCAAATGGTAATATAAAAAGCAATTTCAATTGTTCCTGGAGGAACAATAAATTAGGAATAGTATAATTTCAGCAATAAGTGCAGCAAAATCCTGATTAAAAAAAAAAAACTTCATTCGTTTAAAAAAATATATGGATAGCAATTGCAGTCTACCTGTTTCAAGCGCTTCAAAAATAGGCACCCATGTTCAAAGCTTGCGAGACGTAAATGGGAGGGGGAAAAAAGTGTTTTGAAATTTTAAAAAAAACGTAAAGTTGCCAACGTTAAAATAAGGGTGAGAAACAAAACTAGAAAAACCACAGCAGCCAAGTGAGAAAAAAAAATTATTAATCTCATTAGTTCCTCATTAACTTTCCTCAGTGCGTGGAAATGCCTTTTACCCTGAATTGCCCCTCTCGGCCACTGCGATTTTTCTTGTTTTGTTTTTCTTCTCTTTTCGTGACAAATCGTGGCCGAATTGAAACAAATTCGTGCTCCATGGATTGTGGTGGTTAATACGATTTGTTAACGAAAATATAAGCTAATAATATATAACGCGAGAAATTATTTTTTAATAAATAAATTTTAACAATTTTCAACTAATTCTAATCTGAAAAACCTAATAATATCATATTTCATTTATTTTCAAAAATTTTGCAACTAAACGAAACATGAAATTTTTCAAAACTTCGTTTCACAACATGAAATTTTCAAAATGTTTCCATGAAGAAAAGAAAGAAAGAAGAGAGATTTTTTTTTATTTTTATCTTATCTGACTTTGAAAACAATCGAATTATTTTCTTGAAAGGATGTTCGAAAAATCATTAAGAACAAAAAAAAAAGGGGGGGGGGAACTAAGATACGAACTATCTTCTCGGATTAGCACATTCTTGGCATAAACTATCATCGTCTTAAAGTGCCTAACTTTCGTCATGAAATTTCAATATAGTTCTCAAAAATCCCGGTAAGAAAACTTAAAATAAAATCCAAGGAACTAAATAATATACAGGGTGTATATAAAGTCCCGGACCCATTTTGATGTTAAATAACTCATAAAATAATAAAGATAGATTAAAATTAATAACTTAAATGGTTGGATAGACTCAAAAAGTTTCATGACCCTTGTCAATGAACTTCCACGTGTGCCCCCTTCGTCGCACGGAGAATATCAAGTCGATAGTCAATTTCACGCCAGGTAGAGGCAAGCATGTCGGCATCCACAGAGGCTATTGCGGTTATAATTCTGGCTTTTAGGTGTGTATTTTCTAGAAACTTCCAGTTTCTAGAAAATTCTTTTTCCACCGCAAGATGCTGCTTTTGGATGGAGGATCTTTTTGATAAATTCTTCTGTAATTTCGCTGTGCTTGCACTAACGATTTCGTTTCTATGAACCACCATAAAATCTGTGCTTTCTCTTGTGGTGTATGCATTCTCCTTAATATCGAATAAAACATCACATAGAAAAATACTACATAGAACGAACACATCAAAAGTAAACATAACATTGCAATAGTTGCCAAAAACAAAAGAGAGAAAAATGCAATTAATAAGCAGACGATATTTAGAAAAGACGCGCAGACGATATTTACAAAAGTAAAGATATTCAAACCTGAAAAGGAAAATATATGAGTTATTTCATCAATAAATGCCATAAGTTTGTTTATATCTTCATTATTTAATGAGTTATTAGACATCAAAATGGGTCCGGGAATTTATAAACACCCTGTATATTCGTAATATCTGTATTTAATCTTGGATGAGAAATATGGTTCTTAGAAAAATCCCGATTTCAGATTCTATGCATGATTGAGTCCCGGATTATAATTTTTCAGATCTCTAATTCGCACAAATAAAGAATTTCGTACGGATAATAAATTCCAAAAAGGGAAAATTTCTTAGCAAAATCTGCTGTCGTACGAGCAGATTTTAATTAGGACAAATTCACGTATGGAGAGAATTTTGTAGAGGTAAAAAATCCTTCTCGTCGGTTTTTCTAAGAAATTAAACATTCTAAATTAGTAGTTGAAAAGAAAATTAGGAATAAAATTGTACTTTGTTACACCTTTATTTTCTGTGCAATTAGTTCTGCAGAGGGCGATATCATTAACTGGATCAGTAAATACTGCTTATAAATCATTGTAAAAACAAACAAAAAAATTTAACAAGTTTTTTGCTCATATATATACTTATACATACTTGCAAGCATTTTTGCAGGTAGCTAAACATGCCTTTAACTTATCGCCTTCTATTTTGATGCCACAAGATGCTTGTACTAATGCTATAAAAAAAATTTTAAAATAATTTAACTCTGATACCTGAAAATGGCATATAAAATTTCATTAAAAAATGTAAGCTATTTCTAAAGTTTTTGACATCAGTGATTTGTAGAAATAACAGAATTAGAGGGATTAAAAGCGGAATTCACAAAATTAAAAGAGTATTTTCACTTTATTGCAGAAATTTTAAACTAAAATTTTTGTAGAAATTTTGTGTGGATATTAGAAAACAAATAAAAATGCTTGAATTTGAAACAAGAGTATTTGAAAATATTTCGAGTCACATGCGGTGGGCACAGATATAAGTAGAGATATTTTAATAATGTATTTAACTAATGTAGAGTTATTTTACTTATTATTTAGGTACTAATAAACTGTAAATAAATATTTTTTGACCAAATTTTTATATTGTTTTATTGTATCGCAGTGGAAGAAAAATCTTTCTCTAAAACAAAAAAATCTCATAAACTATATTTTGGAAAATTCTAATAATTCAGTTAATTATCTTTATTTTGATGTTATTTTTCATGGATTACGAGACATTGATGAGACACTGTAAAAGTTTCTTATTTCTTAACCATCCAAAATATTTTTTATGAAACCAACAAACATAATAAATTTTTACTGTACAAGCGAATATTAAGCTAAACACAGATATTTGTAATAACAAATCGGTACCCATTTGGATTTGCTTATTAGGGTCTGAAATGGCCTAATGGTTTGCGCATGGTAATATTTTCTGTTAATATTTAATCTAGCTAAGAAACCACTCTACGGAATTCAAGAGAACTTACATCAAATGATCATTGTTAAGGAAAAATCCAATCAGATAAGAGAACATTCATGGAAAATTTTATTAAATAATATTCTGTTCAGAAGAAATTTTATTATAAAATGATTCACTATTCTATTTTATCTCAATTGTAAAAGTTTCCCCAACAGCCCGTTGTTGGTCAGGAGGATCATGAAGGTTATGTCTCCACAATTTTGTGACCAATGGCATATTTGTGGCATTGTGGTCAGCTTTGCACAAATGCCACCTTCACTTCCCAAACAAACTGGTACCCTGAATCTGAAACTGGGTAGGCTTCAAGCTGATTAATCCACCATTCTTCACTTCTGCAGTTTTGTGCCCTAAACACTGAGTCATCACTGTTAAATAACTGCTAACTCTCAACAGCTCTCAACTGTTAAGTAACTGAAAATCTTTAATTTTCTCACCGATACCAGATTTTATCCCTAATGCCACGAAACAACGAATTTGCCTGGAGAAGAAAATTTCCCTAAACACTCTACGATATCCCCTGGCTCTTTACTGTTAATTTATTACGATGCTGGTTTTTAAAACACATTTTCTTTGATTAAAAATGCTTATTAAGTTATAAATGCCTCGCAAGACCGGTTCTTTTAAACAGTTAGTTACAGAAACAGACATGATGCTTAGATTGAGACCACTATTAGGCCTAACATCACTATTTATATGCTGTGTAGTGTAAGACATTGTTTTTTGAAATTTAGAAGCTAAATATAATTACTAATGCATGTTTCTTGAAGTTTAGTTTGCATCAGTGGCTTTGAGCAGTTGAAGCACTTTAAATTGTATTCATTCCAACAGCTGTTGACGCATACCTGTGAGAAATGGTAAAAGAAATAATTGTGATAAGAGTATTTTTTATTTTTCAAGTCTTGATTCAATATGGAGAATAAAAAAATTACATATTGAGATAGAATCGTTGAATAATATTCAAGAAGGCTACCTTTGCGAGGATTGCAAATTAATATTTCAGAGATAAAGTAACAAAAATATTATATATTGATTTACCATTGAAATAAATAACGGAGAACGTAAGATTAAAAAGATCATAAGAGTTTTAATGTTGAATGAATAGAACTAAAAAAAATCAGAATCAGTTAGTAAAAATTGAAAAAATTGTTTTTTCAGATTTCGAAATTTTTTTTCTATATGCTTCGGAATTACCTGTTGTGATCGTGGCCCCGTTTGGCCATTATTTATCCACTCTTCCTCATAGTCCCGACAATCAGTTTTGTATGGAAATTTCAATAAGTGATTTTCTTCCTGAAAAATATTAAGGTTATAACTATAATGAGAAATAAAACAAAATGAGATGAAAGAAAGACACAAAACAATCACATACCAATCGTATATGTACTTTATATTTCCTATTTGGCTTCAGTACAGCTCCCTCTAGTCCAGGGTCAACTACTGTAAACGGTGAGTGTACGGAAAGGAGTGCACCGGGCTTTGACAAATAGTCGAAGACTTCTACTTCATTTATTTGAATATAGATTCCATCAACATATGTGGCTCGTCCCATACCTAAAGTACATTTTTAATTCATTTGGCTGCTTGTAGAGAATTGCTCTGCACTGCATAGTTATGGTTTAATTACGTAATAGTTAGAATTTCTAGAACGACGAAAAATAGCTTTAAAATAGTTCAAGTTAAGGTTGTGAATTAGAATATTAGTGGAATCATTTACCTTAATTGGAGAGGCTACTTTCTAATCTCTTAATTCCCAAACTGCATTCTGTTTCTTTTTTTGTTCTTTTTTTTTACTTCTTAACATGGTTTTTCGATCTTTTTTCCCCAAGGAAAATAAAAGAGCCACAATTTAATTGCCTTACACTTGAAGCAAAGCTATAATTTTAAAATACTTGTATCACTTTGTTATAAAGAATTATTTAGGCTTCAGAACGGGCAAACGATTTAAATATTTTAAAAGTTGTTTGACTTTTTTGAAAATCGCTAATTTGGCAGTATTTTTCCACCTAGATGAAGTTTATCAAAATCAATGCCTTATTCTCATTTTTGCAAATTTTTATGAGCCTAAATAATGCAGCATTGGGGTAAGTTTTTAAATATTACAAAATTGAACCGAAAATGTTTTTCTGGTCATAGATGAAAATATTATGTATGTATATACATAGATAATATTACATTACAAATTACATATATACATATATAAATATTATGTATGTATATGTATATTACGCATATACTCCATGTTAATTCTACGGGGAATTTTTTATATTGCTTCTTTTCAGTAAGATTTGAATCTCAGCCAAACCAGAGGTTTTCGAAAAGTTCTCTTTGTACCAGAGGTTTTTAAAAGGTGTTACCCCTAGGGTTGCCTAAGAACCTTAAGGTTTCACAAAAGGGTTAAAGGGAATTTAATAGTTAAAATTTAAAAAAAAAACCGTTAGAGACCTGTTATTATATTTATATTTAATCAACATATTTATTTAATTTTATTTGTAATTATTTAGGCAAAATGTCAGTGAAGAAAAAACTAATCATTGTAAATAAAAAAATTCTAATAAAACAATGTATGGAGCAAATGATGAAAAAGGTTAAGTTATACCAAATTTTAGTACTAGCGTATCCAAACAAATTTTTCCGTTCAAAGAGAATAACATCATTCAACAATAAATAACTCTTTGATAACTATTCTCAACATTTATGACAGTTCATTCGACGTTCATTTTAATTTCAATGAAAACCATAATTCTGTTTTTTAAAATTCATTTTCAGCTTATACATATACCAAAAACTAATTCAAAATTTTATTAGATACCGCTCCAAGCCAGTGAATCCATCTGTCTGACCATGAGACTTAATTTCAAGACTATTGTAGATAAAAGATTAAAAAAATTAACATTTATAACATCAAACAATTTTATATTTGATAAAAGGCGTTGATCAACAGACCGAATTCTAAATTTACCTTTATCAATGTTCAACTACATAGCCTTGTAATTTTGAACCCAACCAAGAAGACAAGGGAACTCCTGCATCAAGCGTTGGGACAAACAAACCATCGTGGAGAACTTTTTGATGGAACCAACCCGCATCTGCATCACATGGAGAGGAAAACCTCCCACGATGGTTTTCGCATGTCTCTCGCTGAATAACATGTTCCAATAAACATCTGCCGGAACCATCCGTAGTTTTGTCCACACCCCCTCCCTTGTGGAGTGGGGATGTGGACTGTTATAACCACCAGCCTATCTTTAAATAAACATTTATAGAACGTATTATGACTTTTGACTGCATTGTTAAAAATGAATACATCAATGATAACAGGAATATAGCCCTGTTATTATAAGCCGGCAGGATAGTTGCTTGCGCAGGAAACTTACGCATTTCTATCTCAGAAACTAAGCTTAGCGGTGACCGGCTGGACTTCGGATAACTTCATCCCATCAACCACCGTGGAAAAAAATACATCAAAAATATCGATTATCTCATTCGCATGGACAGTTGAAAATTATCAGTCGAATTCTTCTCTAACTCACGGCAATTAATAATTCATCCAGTATCTTCAACAGAAAATATATACTTCAATCATCAAACTTTTTTTTTATATAAGTGATACCTACGCGCAGTGGAACTTAACGAACATCGACTTTGCATTTGTCTATGCGGCATGTCATGTCGACGTTCTGAAGGCGGTGGATACAACGAGAAAGCTGAGACTCACTAGAAAGCTTCTCCCCTCTCCGACAAAAAAGAAAATCTGCATTGGACTCCTGATAGACGTTAAAATGTTTTCGATTTGAAATCTCATCCCTTCCGTTCGGAAATCGTTGATTTTGCTTATCCCAGTGCTACTCTGGATTTTATCGTCAACAAATTGTTCTCACCCCACCTCATTCAAGGGGAAATATGATTCCTCTTAAAGAAGAAATTACTAATAAAATTTCATCTGATGTTGTGGTTCACGATCGAACTTTCTCACGTATCCTTTTTGTGGGAATTTTTTTTACAATTCTCATAAAACAATTTCTTGAATTTTTATTGATTAACAAAAAATAAGAAAGGAATTCATGTAAATAACAAAAATCATAGAGTATGATTTTTAATTTTTTTCTCATGCTTGATATTTCGATTGAAACAATTATTTTTTATACAATGATCGTATTTACTATTGAAATTTTTTTCAGTGAACTGATTGTTTTGATTGGCATAAAAAAATTTTCGAGAAATTATTTTCATATTTATTGTTTTATGTGTTATAGTTTCTAGGATTTATTGATTAGTTGAATTTATATTTTTGTTTTACTATAGTGTTTAGGGTGAAGATAAAATGCCATTAAAATGTTTGTTTTTTTCTCTCTTCAACGAAATTGATGAAGGTCGACGTTGGAAAATAAGTTGTTCATATTGTTACTGAAATTAGATTTGAGCCTTGCTCTAAACTTTTTATTATGAGTAATTCAATAGTATATTATTAATGAGTAGATTGCATTTCTAGTGTTTATATTGCTTTTTTTAAAAAATTATAATATAATATTGTATTTATAGTGCACTTAAAATTTTTTTGAAGAAAATAGAAAACCCGAAATATGACTTTAAGTGCACCAGGACATAATTCTCCGGCTTGTCCTAAATATAAAAATGTAAACCCGAATGTGACATAACCCAAAATACATCATACAACACAGGAGATCCCAATAAATCAATGTAAATATTGTTCGAAGAAAGGACTTTTGAATCAATTTCACATGGACTCCTCGTGTGTAAACAACCCTAATAATGTAATTGATGTAAACGTTCAAAATATGACAAATAAGCAGTAACAATTAATAATATCCGGGTATCAAGTGGAAAATAAATACCTAAATGGATATAAAGTAGAAAATAAGTACCAAAAGGGACGTCCAAAAATAAATAAAAATGTAAACAAAGAGATATTATTGAATGTTGATACCAGGTCAACATTCAATATAATACCAAAAGATTTGGTGTTAAAATTAAATATTCCTATTAAAAAATGTGAAGAATTAAATATTACCCAAACAAAAGGACAATTAACAATTAACAAAATTTGTGAGTTTCCCTTTTTAAGATAGGCGAAATTGTTAACTCAGCTAAGTTTTTTATACTTGATACTGATTTACCATATGCTTTAGTAGGGTTGCAAACTTGCAAAGTTTCCAAAAACATTAGAAAAAATTTCGAATTAAGTTACACTGCTATATTTGAAAGATTATTTTCTCCATGCAGAACAGTGGCTCGATCCCCAGAAGCGACTTGAAAGCCACCCAGATGCAGATCGATACCAGAATGTGTGGGAAGTAAAGGTGGACTGTGCAAATGATTATCA